TGAGTTAGAATTATGTTCTACATCCTTCTCCAGCTCTGTCCAGAGCCCTCTGTTGTGATTCTGGTCAGAGCAGTCAGTGGTAGCCGGGCACCATCTAGCTGTACTGGACTCAGTCCGGTGGAGGCCTTGGTAGCTGTGGAGCATTAGTCCTTCAGACTAATCTTTTCCTTGTATCCTGTTCTCTTCATTCTCCCTTACTCCCCTCTTCATTCTCCCTTACTCCCGAAGGGATGAGACCAGTGGAGTATCTTAGATGGTTGCTCACAGGCTTTTAAGACCGCAGACACTACTCACCAAGGTAGAATGTAGAACATTGTCTTTATAAACTGTGTTATGCCAGTTGAGCTAGATGTTCCCCGAGACCATGGTCCTTGGGGGAAATTTTTAAGAGTTTAGTTTTGGACATGTTAAGTTTGTAGAGCCTGTTAGAAGTGCAAATGGATGTGCAGTATAGGCAGTTGGATAGGTGAATCAAGTTTTGGGAGAGCTCTGGGTGGGAGCAGAGTCCAAAGATGGAGCCTGGGGCTTAGAGAGATGAGAAGCCAGCAAAAAGATTTGAGAAGGAGAGGCCAGATAAGGCAGCAGGGGAAGTGTTTGAAGGAGCAGGGGGTAACCAGTGTGTCGTATATCACCACAAAATAAACTGAGAACTAAGGATTGACCACTGGACTTGACAGCATGAAGGCCACTAGTGATCTTGACAAGTGTGATTCATATTGGTGTAGTTGGGGTCAAAACCTAACTGGAGTGCTCAAGAAAGACTAGGGTAGAGCTGGATTGAACTGGGGCTAAGGTTTTGTCAGGTGGGTGTGAAGACCCAGGGTTAAAAGTTCAAAGGGGAGTGATCATGATGATGAATCATGGAATCTCAGCTGGAAAAAAAGGGAGGTGAGGACGGCGGCAGGGGCAGTAGACAGTGGAAAGTTTATAGGATCAGTGACTCAGCTCCTGGCAGTACTAAAGGCTTGTTGGAGTTGAGAGTGAGCTGGAAGCATGGGATTGATGTTTGCAGCATGGGAGCTTGAGATTGAGACCAGAGAGGGATTGCAGTTGTCTGTCATGGAAGGTCTGTAGGCATGACCTGAGATGAATGGCATGACCTGAAATGAATGAATGGTAGTGAAATTCAGGGTCATTGGAGGAGAGAAAGGTGTTTAAGAAACCAAGAGCCCTAGGTGTTAGAAGAATCATCATATTGGAATCACCAAGAATGATGACAGGAGTGTTGGCAAGAATGACATGACTAGAAATGTAAGTCTTCAAGTGAGGGGGTAGGATCTCATGTGTATGTAGACGATTGCATCAAGAAGGAACAGGGTGGCTGGTATGGTCTGAAGACAGACCTTCAGAAGTGGGGTTTAACATGGATGAATTTTTGAAAACATCATGCTGAGTCAAGTCAGTCACAGAGGGACAAATATTGTATGATCCCAGTTATATGAAATACCTTACAGTAGGTAAGTGTGTAGAAACCAAAGCTTATTAGTGTTTACTAGGGGTGGGTGGGAGAGAAGGGAAAAGCGGGAATCACTGCTTAGGGGACACTGACCTTTTGTTAAGAGTGATGGGAAAATCTGGAAATAAATAAGGGTAATGGTTGAACAACAAGATGAAAATAACTAATGTGACTGAATTGTACCTGTGAAGAATGTTGAAAAGGCAAACAATTTGTTACAAGTATTTTTACCACATACTTTGGACATATTATCAGGAGGGATCAATCCCTCGAGAAGGACATCATGCTTGGTAAAGTAGAGGGTCAGCAAAAAAGAGAAAGACCCTCAACAAGATGGATTGACACAGTGGCTGCAACAGTGGGCTCAAGCGTAACAGCTGTTATGAGGATGGCACAGTACCGGGCAGAGTTAAGTTCTGTTGTCCATAGGTCACTATGAGTTAGAACTGATTTGACAGTACCTAACAACAACATCAATAGTTACCACAATAAAAAATAATAATAAAAAGTAAAACAAAAGAAGTGGGGTGTAAGGAGGAAAGTATATAAAACGTATGGATTTACTGTAGAATTTGGCAGTGATTCCAAAGGGCATCTGGAAAGATAAGGTTGCATTATCAAAAAATTCAAAGCTGCAATGGCTGAAGCATCACAGTTTTCAGGGAAAAACTAACAACGCTAAAGGAGGCTGCAATCTACCTAAGAACTTAGTGTATTGTGAAGGAAGCATTGCTTATCAGTAATGGAAAGAAAGAATTATTCCTCACATGCAATATGGTAACCACTAAGAAGTTTGTGGGTGAGAGGAAATTAATTTAGGCCCTCACTAAGTAACAGCACACACCAAAATAAATTCTAGATATTAACAAGATAAAAATTCTAAGTAATTAAACCAGGAGAAAACAGAATTGAATATTTATTAACCTCTAGCAGAGGGAATATTAATAGGCAATATTAACAGGCAAAAGAAATCACAAAGAGGAATAACAGACTTTATTACATGAAACTCTTACCATGTAGAAGATAAACTGATGAAATTTATAGCTAATATCTGTATTGTAAATTGTCTGTGGAAATTGCTATAGAAATTCTGAGTTCCCATCTCACCGCTGCTTCTCTGTTCTAGTACTCAGGTACTACAGTGATATTCCAATGTTTCATGTCCACCTCTCCTGGACTTCAAGCTCCTAGAGGAGGGTCTTGCTTTCTTGGTTTTTGTAAGCACTGCATTCATGTTTGCTAGATCTGTTGCACAAAAGACCATCTAGTAGATAGTCACAGGATATGAGCAGATAAGTTAAAAGAAGACAAATTTAGATAATAGGCATGAAAATTCTTCACTTTCACTAATAATCAAATTCAAATGAAAAGTTATAAAAATGTACTTCATTAGAGGAAATGAGCATGACTGATTTGGGTGCTTTGGAAGAAGAGGGGTGCTCCTAGAAGAGTCTTGGAGGTGAGACCCAGTTCATGAAGAGGAGAAGGACCTGGAGATGACTTTCCACTCATTTATTGAGCAACTATCTATTGGGCCCTTACTGTGTGCTGGGCATTCTGCTAAGTGTTTGACCTACAGTGTCTCAGTTAATGCCCAAGAGGCTCTCTGAGGAAGGCCCGATTATGCTTGGAGAAGCAAGCTTAGCAGGATTGAGGGATGTGTTCAAGGCCATATACCTAGTAAGTGTCAGAGCCCAAGTATATGATGCATAAGCTCTGCACTCATGTTCTCAGTTGCTTCCTCTGTGAATGGAGTAGGGAAGGGTCAATTAGATACTTTAAACTTTATGGCCAGTTGAAAAAGCTTATTGGGGATTTTTTTCATCAAATTGGTCGAAAACAAACAAACAAAAAAAACCAACCTCTAGTTCAGGTGGTCCCAGGCCAAATATCTTTAGACATATGAACCCCCGAGACTGCGGGCCCAGCTATAGACAAAGGTGGTGCTGACTGCCCAGCTTAGTCCAGTTCTTGAACTGCTCCATAAGAGATCCTGGTCTTCTTTCCAGATGTCATGGATGTCGCGTGGTCTCCCCATGATGCTTGGCTGGCCTCTTGCAGCGTGGATAACACTGTTGTCATCTGGAATGCTGTGAAGTTCCCAGGTCTGGCGCCTTCCTCTGACTCTTGTTGAGCAGCTCTCCAGCACTGCTGCCTGTCCCATTAGTCCTGGTGGCAGCAAGTGTGTCCCAGTGGTGTGGGATTTGTATGTCTTGTCAGTAACCCAGGTTTTTTCTCCCCCTCTGTCAATTTATTTAAGGTTCATAAAGAGATTTATGTTAAAGGAAAATGTTAACAGATGTGATTCAGATCATGAGGGTTGTACATGGATGACTGGCATTTGGGGACCCCAGATCAGCATGTGTTTGGCTCACACCTGGCACCTCGCACGTGCCCTGTGCTCTGAGGACGTGCCCGCCTACCTCTGCTCTTGGGCTTCAGCTCAGTTGCAATCTTCTCTCTGAAACCCTTCCGCAGATGTGGACTAACACAAAGCCAGTTGTTTTTTTTTTTAACAAACCCAGCTATTTCTTAAAATAAGAAAAAGTTTAGTTTTTCTTAGTGTTTAAAGTCATGTCAGATGGCATACTGCTATAGTTTAATACCTAATAAAATACTTCTGATACTCCCTCTCAGTATTTGAAACATGTTTTTCTCATGTATGGGGACACTTGCCACGGAGAGGAGGAGTTTAGCGAACGATGTGAAGGAAAGCTTTCTGTAGCATTTGCATGAGGTGCCCTCTCATACATCTTTGTCTGCGGTGATGGCTTACAAAGGCCTCGTTAAGCACAGGGCCCAGTCCCCGGAGCTGTTAGGCCTGCTCCTTATCCGGGAGCTGCCAGGGAGGTTTACCTCAGAAGTGCTGGTGTCATAGCCCAGGTGGGCCCAGGCTTTGGTCCAGGAGGGGAGGCCATGGGCAGGGCTGCTTGGCACTTCTGGCCCATGCCTAGGACCCTTGCTGCCTGCTTCTTGGGGGCAGTTGCACCCTCAGTCTACACGTGTTAACTGTAGCTAAAAGGAAATCTGTGGTGTCTGCCTCCTTGATGCAATCCTTTCTTCAGGCTGCTTTTGCAAGAGATCAATTAGGGAGCTCTTCTGCTTGTGTCATAGGGTCCCACTAGGAGTTGGAATTGATTCGATGGCAGTGAGTTTTGTTTTTTGTTTTCTGTTTTGGGGTGGGGGGGGTCCCTGGCCAAGGCAGACTCCTGAGTCCCTTTCTTCTCGGATCTCCTTTTTTTTTTTTTTCCCCTGTCTGGCGTCACTGTTTTCCCCTAGGTAATACTTTTCCAAATTTCTTTTTATTTTTCTTTACAGAAATTCTGGCTACTCTGAGAGGTCATTCTGGTTTGGTGAAAGGGTTGACTTGGGACCCTGTTGGTAAATATATTGCCTCTCAAGCTGATGACCGCAGCTTGAAGGTGTGGCGGACGCTGGACTGGCAGTTAGAGACCAGCATCACCAAGCCTTTTGACGAGGTAACTGGAGACAGCCCAGAGCTTTGCCCCTACCCCCACCCCCCGACAGCCTGGCAGATGCTCCAGAGGGGTTTGGTAGCCGTCCCAGCCCTTTCCAAATCTCTGTGCTGAAGGAGGAGCTGGCCATGGTCCAGGCCATGTAGGTGAACAAACATGCCCCCCTGAAGGCTGTGGGCCCACAGAGTCCAAGGGCCTGAGCAGGCTAGTCATGGTATTCTGCAGGGGCCCACTGGCCCTAAGAGTCAGATGAAGAGAATCTTATTTCTGAGTAGCTGTTGAGCTTCCAACTTCGAAGTAAAAAAGATTTGTGAATTTTAAAGCTGAAGAGGACCTTAGGAATGTTCCTACATTGTCATGTTGCACAGCCTGCTGCCACAATGTGGATGAAGTTGTTTTCATATTGTGTGGCTTTTACATTGTGCCACCCTTCAGAGTGGTTTGTGTGTGTGAGGGGAGGTGGTGGAGGTGTTCTCATAGTTTTCCTGACAGTGTGTGTGGCTTGTGGACTTCCACTCTGCAGGCTAGCCCACTTCTCTCTTGGATGGAGTTAGCTGTATGGTTTGCAAAATGCTCGGAGATCAGACTGCAGTGACTTTTGTAGTATTTTATTGTCTCTTCCTTTATTTGAGTTCTGATATGTGGAATTAGAGCATAAGACCACCATTATTCATTAAACATTTATTAAGTGCCCACTATATGCAAGGCAGTACTGGAAACAGGGAAATAAAAGTGGATTAAGATGGTCTCTCCCCTTGAAGCTTACAGCCCAGTGGGAAAGACAGACAGACATGTCAGTTGTAAGTATGGTGATGGGATTGGCTTGAGTGTGCAGAATGGTGCAGGAGGGCTGACTTTGTCAGGGGAAGACTTCTCAGGGTTTTGCAGAATGCATAGACATTTGCCCACTGGTCAGCGTTGGCTACATATATGCAGTTCTACCCAAACGAGCCCTAGTTTCTGGACTGGGTATATTAGCACCAGTATTTGCCTTACTTGGCCCTGCCCTCCTCGGCTCTGGCTGCCTGGAACAGGTGACCTGGGCTCTCACATCTGGACTTCCTTAGGGCTTTGGCTGCCTACATGGCGGGTATCCCAGAAGCAAGCTCCTGGTGGCCGTGGGGCAGACAGGGCTGGGAGTGGTTGACTACCAGCAGGAGCAGCAGCACTCATCAGCCTCAGCGGGTTGGAGCTAGCCTTCCCCAGGGGTCTGTGGTCCAGTCTGGAAGTTGAGGCAGGTGGTGTCACTACACTCCAGCCTGCCCTTCCTTCTCTACTCTGGGGCTGTGAGGTCAAGATCTTAACCCCTACATCTTTAGGGTTGCCCTGAGCAGAGCTTCAGGGGGCTGGCTTTTGGCCCATATCATCTTGCTTTACAGGAGGAATCATGTGCCCAAGTCAGGGTAACAGTGCCTTTCTGCTGTGCATTTTGTACCTTTTAAGGATTTTACAAACCTCTTCTCCTTTGTTGGTAGTATCCCCACTCTTCAGGTGAGGAGACAGGCTCGAGAGCAGATGGTGCACTCACAGGCCCCAAGTGCAAACAGGGCTCTTTCCACAGTGCAGCGTTTCTCAGAAAGTGTTTTGCAGTCTTGGCGGTGGGGTTTATGGATGCTGTGTGGAAGAAGAAGGTCAGAGGCCAGATAGATTTGGCAAACACAGAATCAGTGGTTAAAAGAGGGACTTTCCTATAGATCCTCAGTATCTGTATTACTGTGCTGTTGTTCGTTGTTCAGCTCTTTTAGGGGAGAATAGGTTTCTGCAGTTCCCAAACTGATTTGACTAGAGAGCCCTGAAGAGATTGAAGTTACAGCTGCTGGTATAATGCAGAAGCTGGGAGTGTGTGCTCCACCAGTATGTGTTCGTAAACCAGGGTTTTGACTTTATTCTTGAGGTCAGAGTTTTGGTCACAAAGTTGGCCTTGAGCTCCTTTCAAGCCACAGCTTGTTTCTTTCAGTGTGGAGGGACGACCCATGTGTTGCGGCTCAGCTGGTCACCTGATGGGCACTACCTGGTATCTGCTCACGCCATGAATAACTCCGGCCCCACTGCCCAGATCATTGAACGAGAGGGCTGGAAAACCAACATGGATTTCGTGGGGCACCGGAAAGCAGTGACAGTCGTGGTGAGTGTGCCTGACCTCAGAGGAAGTCCTAGCAAGTGTCTGGGCACGAGGCTGGCTGGCTGGCTGGCAGCACTGCCTTGAGTGACCTGCTGCAGCCAGTCTGTATGTGTCCTGAGAGGCTGGTCAGTGCCTTGGTCTCCGGAAAGGCCTGGCAGGGCCACAGCCTCCCCAAGACTGGGTCACATGTGGGAGTGAGGTGATGGGCTCCACGATGCTGTATATGTCAGAGTCTTATTTCATTTTAAATATTTATGTTTAAATATTTGAAAACTAATTTTACAAAATAGAATATATGCATATTTTATTGGGAAACTTTAACGTGGCACATATCACCAAAATAAGTCTTCGATTAGGGACGTCAGGTCTGCTCGTGGGTGCTAGTGTACAGTGGTACTGATAACGGCCCCACTCACCAGGCTCAGGTCCGGGTCTGGTCTATCTGCCTAGCATGTGTGCTTGACCCATGCCCCCACGCACAGCTGTCAGTCGTGGCTGGAGAGGCTGTGCTGGAGACCACTGGGTTTGTCTCCTGCATGTGGGGCTGTTTGCCTGGTCTTGATATGGAGGGGAAGAGGCCAGCAGAAGTGCTGCTCAGTAACTTTTCAGGCGAGATAGAGAGCATCTTACCACCCCTCTTATGCTTCAGGACACTTTAATTGAAGAGTGTCCTAAGAGTGCCCAAGGCAAGCTGTTATTTAGTTACAGATAATCTTTGAGAACCAGAATTTTATCAAAATGGGCAACCAAAACAAAATAAATAGATTGGCAAGCTGAAGTGGGTAAAACTGAAGGCTCATGCAGAGCCTTATCTCAGTTTTTTGATCAGACATCTAAGTATCTTCATCATTCCCATTGTTTAAATCAGTAAGAAGTATCATATATTGTGACTTAAAATATACATTTTATAAGAATAAAATATATTTTATATGAATAAGAAGTATTGCTTTCAGTTTTTTGTGTTGGGGCCCGTTTAGAATTTTGTTTGAAACCAGGGCCTTGTTGTCAAAATGTTTGGAAATCACTGGTTCATGGTTAGCACAGTGCTTCTGTGGGATCCGCTCGTGTGATCCTCACAACCAGTCTAAGTGATGACTGTGAGATTGTGACACCTGCTTCACAGAAGAGTGCTGCGAACCTCTGCAAGGATTTGTACACTCCTCCAAGTTCCATGTTTTCAGTCTCTATGTGCCCCTTGAATCCATCAGCCACTCGTTGGAAACCCTGTGGGGCAGTTTTACTCTGTCCTGTAGGGTCACTATGAGTCAAAATTGACTGGACAGCAACAGGTTTGGTTTTTTGTTATGTGCCTCTTGAGGAGTCCTGGTGGCGCAGTGGTTAAGCGCTTGGCTGCTAACTGAAAGGTTGACAGTTCGAACCCACCAGCCACTCCACGGAAGAAAGATGTGACAGTCTGCTTCCATAAAGATTACAGCCTTGGAAACCCTACGGAGCAGTTGTACTCTGTCCTGTAGGATCGCTATGAGTCAGAATCGACTCTATAGGAATGGGTCTTATGCGTCCTTTGCCATTCCTATCTACCCTTTAGGGTTAAACCCCTACCACCATCCCCCCAGGGACACTGAACTTCTATTAAGGGTGATGGAAAAATTTGGGAATAGTTAATGGTGATGGTTGAACAACATGATGAGCATAAGTAATGTCACCAAACTGTACATGGGAAGAGTGTTGAACAGGTAATATAGTACCTGTATATTTACCACACGCACATACAAACAAAAAACCTCAGGCCATCTGACACCAGGCTCTGTTTGCTCCCAAGAAGCCACCCTTTTTCTTCCCTCAATTTTCCTGGCTTGAGGATTCCAAGTCTGGGCCAAGAGCTCCTACCCCTTTTCCATCTAGGAAGATGGCAGGGAGCTCAGCGTGCACTTCCAACCTTTCCAGAATGACACCCAGGTTACACTGGGGGCAGCTCCCTGGGCTGACAAGCAAGTCATTGAGATCCTGCAGCTTGGGCTGACAATTCTGTGAGAGACAGTTATGACTGTAAACAACAAACAAAATGAAGGGAGAAAGAATTAAATGGATCACACCTTTCCTGACAGCCCCCTTGGCACCTCTTAGGAGATGGATAGTGAGCAGGCCCTCATCCCGAAAGCCCCCTTGCAGGCTCAGCTTCTACCGGGGCCTGGAGCTGGTTCTGCCCAGCAGGACGAGTGCAGAGGGCCCATCCCATTGGCTTAGCTGCTGGTCCCAGAAACAGAGAGCTGGTAGCACACATTTCACCACTTACTCATTTGATGACTCTGAGCACATTTTTTACCTCTCTGATCCTCCATTTCATCATCAAGAAAATGCCTCCTAAGGTTGTCATGAAGATGAAACGTGCCGAGTGCCTGGTGCTCAGAATATCCATGTGATACTCCCACCAGTGGGCTGGGGTTTGGTATGTTTCTGATACTTGGACATGGGATACAAACTTGATGCTTGATTCATTATTTTAATGTTTGTTACTTGGCTTTAGAAATTCAACCCCAAAATCTTCAAAAAGAAGCAGAAGAATGGAAGTTCTGCGAAGCCCAGCTGCCCATACTGCTGCTGTGCCGTGGGCAGCAAGGACCGCTCGCTCTCTGTCTGGGTGAGCCCCCACCATGAGCTTTAGCTGCAGGGGGGTGTGGAGGGCCGGGTGAAGGTAGCAGAGCCTGGAAGATAGAAGAAACACACTGCTTCTGGTCTCTCCCGTCTTCCACCCTGGTCTCTAGAGTCAGCTCCTCCTTGGAAGTCTGCAGGCCTTCTCATTACCCAAGAAGAAAGTAGTGGAGCTCGGGCCTGGGCCCAGCCTGTGTGCTCTTGCCCCTCTTGTGCCTGATTCCCAAGGACCCTGAGGCCCAGCCAGGACAGGCCTTCCCTGACCCCCAGTGCATAGCAGCTCTTGCGTCTGAAGTCGAGGAATGCTTTCAGGGATGGGTATAGTTGGTATAGTTGGCAGGTTGTGTTTACTTCTTTTAAAAAAATAAACTTCATATAGATATATAACATTCATAAAGTACATTCATCTTAAACATACAGCTCGGTGAATTTCTGTGTATATTTATATCAGCATAATCACCACCCCATAATGCTCCTTCTTGTCCCGTCCCAGTCAAGACCCCATTGTCCCATCGAGGCAGCCACTCTTGCAATTTCTGTCACCATCCGTGAGTTTTGCATGACCTTGAACTTCATATAAATGGAATCATGTGGTATTTACTTTTTTGTGTCTTGCTTTTCTTTCATTTGGCATAATGTTTTTGACATTCATCTATATTGATACATTTAACAATAGTGTATTCTTCATTATTGCTGTGTAGTGTTCTGCTGTGTGAATATACCATCATTTGTTTATGCACTCTGCTGTTGATAGACATTGGGGTTGTTCCTGATTTGAGATACTATGACTAAAGATGATGTGAGCATTATTGTATAAGTCTGTAAGTCTTTTCCTGGACATATGTTTTAGTTTCTTTTGAGTACATACCTAGAAGTGGAATGACTGAAAGTTAAAGAAAAAAAAAGAGTCAATACCAAGTGTTAGCAAGGATATTGTTAGTTGAAACTAATACATTGATAGGCATTTAAATTGGTGCAATCACTTTGGATAAGTGTTTGGCAGTTTGTACTAAAGCTAAACGTTGGTATTGTCGTTAGGTGCTGTTGAGTCAGTTCCGACTCATAGCGACCATGTGTACAACAGAATGAAACACCGTCCAGTCCTGCGCCATCCTCACAATCATTGCTATGTTTGAGCCTATCGTTACAGCCACTGTGTCAGTCCATCTCGTTGAAGGTCTTCATCTTTTTCACTGACCCGCTACTTTACCAAGCATGATGTGCTTCTCCAGGGACTGGTCCCTCCTGATAGCACGTCCAAAGTACATGAGACGAAGTCTTGCCAGCCTTGCTTCTAAGGAGCATTCTGGCTGTACTTCTCCCAAGGCAGATTTGTTAGTTCTTCTGGCAGTCCATGGTATATTCAATTCTTTGCCAACACCATAATTCAAAGGTGTCATTTCTTCTCTGGCTTTCCTTATTCATTGTCCAGCTTTCACATGCATATGAGGCAGTTGAAAATATGGCTTGGGTCAGGCACACCTTAGTCCTGAAAGTGACATCTTTGTTTTTTTAACACTTTAAAGAGGTCTTTTGCAGTGGATTGGCCCATTGCAATATGTCATTTGATTTCTTGACTGCTTCTTCCATGGGTGTTGATTATGGATCCAAGAAAAATGATAGCCTTGACAACTTCATTATTTTCTCTGTTATCATGATGTTGCTTATTTGTCCAGTTGTGAGGATTTTTGTTTTCTTAATGTTGAGGTGTAATCCATACTGAAGGCTGTAGTCTTTGATCTTCATCAGTAAGTGCTTCAAGTCCTCTTCACTTTAAGCAAGCAAGGTTGTATCATCTGAATATTGCAGATTGTTAATGAGTCTTCCTCCTGATGCCATGTTCTTCTTCATGTAGTCCAGCTTCTTGGTTTATTTGCTCAGTATACAGATGGAATAAGTATGGTAAAAGGATACAACCCTGACATTCACCTTTCCTGATATTAAACCACTCAAAATCCCCTTGTTCTGTTTGAACGACTGCCTCCTGGTCTAGGTGCAGATTCCTCATGTGCATCATTAAGTGTTCTGGCATTCTCATTCTTCGAAGTGTTATCCATATTTGGTATGATCCACACAGTCAAATGCCTTTGCATAGTTACTAAGAACAGGTAAACATCTTTCTGGTATTCTGCTTTCAGCTGAGATCTGTCTGACATCAGCAATGACATACCTTGTTCCACATTTTCCTCTGAATCTGGCCTGAATTTCTGGCGGTTCCCTGGCAATGTACTGCTGCAACTGTTTTTGAATTATCTTCAGCAAAATTTTACTTGCCCTTGATACTGATGATATTGTTTAATAATTTCCACACTGTGTTGGATCACCTTTCTTTGGAATGGGCACAAATATGGATCTCTTCCAGTTGGTTGGCCAGGTAGCTATCTTCTAAATTCCTTGGCATATACAAGTGAGCGCTTCCAGCTTTGCATTCATTTGTTGAAACATGTCAGTTGGTATTCCATCAATTCCTAGAGCCTTTGGTTTTTGCCAGTGCCTTCAGTGCAGCTTGGACTTCTTCCTTCAATACTATTGGTTCATGATCATATACTACCTCTAAAATGGTTGAACGTCAACCAGTTCTTTTTGGTACAGTGATTCTGTATATTCTTTCCATCTTCTTTTGATGCTTCCTGCATTGTTCAGTATTTTGCCCATAGAATCCTTCAGAATTGCAGCTCGAGGCTTGAGTTTTTTCTTCAGTTCTTTCAGCTTGAGAAATGTGGGGCATGTTCTTCCCTTTTGGTTTTCTAACTCCAAATCTTTGCAGGTTTCATTATAATACTTTACTTTGTCTTCTTGCACCACCCTTTGAAATTTTCTGTTCAGCTCTGTTACTTTATCGTTTCTTCCTTTCGCTTTAGCTACTCTGAGTTCAAGAGCAAGTTTCAGAGTCTCTCTTGACATCCATTTTGGTCTTTTCTTTTGTGACTTTTTAATGATCTTTTGCTTTCTTCATGTGTTATGTCCTTGATGTCATCCCACAACTCATCTGGTCTTCAGTCATTAGTGTTCAGCATGTCAAATCTATTCTTGAGATGGTCTCTAAATTTAGGTGAGACATACTCTAGGTCGTACTTTGGCTCTCATGGACTTGTTTTAACATTATTCTGCTTCAGCTTGAACTTGCATATGAACAATTGTTGGTCTGTTCCACAGTCAGCCCCTGGCCTTGTTCTGACTGATGATGTTGAGCATCTCCATTGTCTCTTTCAACAGATATAGTCAATTTGAGTCCTGTGTATTCCATTTGGTGAGGTCCACGTGTATAGTCACCATTTATGTTGTTGAAAAAAGATATTTGCATGAATAAGTGGTTGGTCTTGCAAAATTCTGCAATGCCTTCGCTGGCATCATTTCCATCACCAAGGCCATATTTTCCAACGACTGATCCTTCTTCTTTGTTTCCAACTTTCGCATTCCAATCACTAGTAATTATCAATGCATCTTGATTACATGTTTGATCAATTTTAGACTTCAGAAGTTGGTAAAAGTCTTCAATTTCTTTATCTTCTGCATTAGTAGTTGGTGCATAAATAGTCTTATTATCTGGTCTTGCAGGCATATGGATATTATCCTATATCTGACAGCATTGTACTTCAGGATAGATCTAGAAATGTTCTTTTTGATGATGAATGTGATGCCATTCCTCTTCAGTGTGTCATTGCTGTCATAGTAGACCATATGATTGTCTGATTCAAAATGGCCAATACCTGTCCATTTCTGCTCACTAATGCCTAGGATATCGATCTGTATGCATTCCATTTCATTTTTGATGACTTCTAATTTTCCTAGATTCATACTTCGTACATGCCATGCTCTGGTTATTATTGGATGTTTTCAGGTGTTTCTCCTCATTTTGAGTTGTGCCATATCAGCAAATGAAGGTCCTGAAAGCTTGACTTCATCCACATCATTAAGGTCAACTCTACTTTGAGGAAGCAATTCTTCCAAATCGTACTTCAGTGCCTTCCAACCTGAGGGGCTCATCTTCCAGCACTATATCAGGCACTAATTCAGCTGATGTTCATAAGGTTTTCACTGGCAAGTTTTTCAGGTCATCAGGTTCTTCTTCCTACTCTGTCTTAGTCTGGAAGCTCCACTGAAACCTGTCCATCATGACTAACCCTGCTGGTATTTGAAATACTGGTGACATAGCTTCCAGCATCACAGCAACAGGCAAGCTACCACAGTACGACAAACTGACAGACAAATGGTGGAAGCTAAACATATGACCCCCCAGTTCCACTAGCAGCTGTATAACTAAGATGAATACGTGCTTACTGACACAAAAAAAGGCATGCAGAATGTTCCTAGTGTTTACTTTTTTATATAGTTAATTGGCGTCTTAGGCTGTGTTCTCTGGAGAAGCAAAACCAATAAAGCATATAAATATATTCAGAGAGAGATATCAAGGAAACTGCTCACACAATTGTAAAGGCTGGAACATCCCAAGTCTGTGGATCAGGGTAGAGGCATCTCCTGATTCACGTAGCTGCAGTGGCTGGTGAACCCAAGATCGGCGGGTTGGAGAGCAGGGCTCTTGTTCACAGGCTGTGAAGATCAATGAATCCCAAGATCGGCAGACAAGCTGATAGCTCAAGTCCCAAGAACCGAAGGTCAGACGAAGAAACAGGAGGCAGCTGCAGGATCCAGAATGAGCAAAAAGCCAGAACGTCTGCTTGTATTCGGATGCAGGCCACATGCCCAAGGAAACTCCCTTTCAACTGATTGGCTACTCACAGCAGATCCCATCATGGGAGTGATCACATATAAACACTGAGAGTCATGGCCCAGCCAAGCTGACACACAATCTTAACCATCACAAATGGTACCTCCATTAATTTGTCCGTTTAACCTATTAGCAACACTATTGTGGATAAGGCTGTGAATCTTGTATTCCTCACTAGATGGTAACCCCTGAGAGGAAGAGCTGCATCTTAAACTCAGTGCCCTCCTTATAGCAGGTTTTCAGTAAATATTGGTGATAGGTTCATGGGTGAGAACCAAAGGATAAGAACTGTGACTGTTTCTAAGTTATCGCTCTTTGACTCAACTACAGTCTTTGAGAATCTGACAGGTCAACTGCCTGAAGGAGTCACTTACGTTGTTACAACTGTCTCTTAGTCCAGGAGAGTTATTAAGTGCTTCTTGCCAGTGGCTGGTGTTCCATCAAACGAAAGAGCCTCAGGTTGTTGTGGTTACAGACACAGGGACAAGATCTCTCTGTACAGGCAGTTCAGGAGGTGGCTGTGCCTGGAGCCCTGGGGTCGCAGACTGCTATTGATGAGCATTCTTGGCTATGTCCTGTAGATTTCTGGTATTTCCTTATGCCAGCTGATTTAAAGTTTGATAAAACAAGGTACACATATTTAAAAAAAATTTTTTTTTTTTTTTAATTTCCCCATAAGCAGTATGGATTTGGAGGTTATCCTCCAGCTGTGGTTTTTACATTTGTTTGATATTGAATAGTTCATTGCTGTGTACATTTTGATTTTTCAGGCCCAAGATCATTTAATACCCATTCTGGAACCAGGATTATAGTGCCATAACGGGCAGTTCAGAGTGTGTTCTTCCTTCGATTCAGGAACCCAAAGCTCCATTCATGGTGCTTTGACCAAATCATTGCCAACACCATGGTGCTTGTGTTTCTTAGAATGGTGAGGTCAGGTGGCCATGTGGGTTCCAGATTTCTGAGGTCTGTAGGCGTGTTTATGGGAGAGAGGGATAGACACCTTGGGAGGGGCCATATTCTTATGGATTCCGTGTAGCTCAGACTCCCCCCTCTCCTCCAGGCTAAGGTTGCTGTAGCTCCTCCCCCTGCACAGACAGGCTCAGGCTGCTGGTGGGCAGGAGAATCAACAGCACACCGTGGAAACTCGAAAGAAGTGTGTTCCCTCCCACCCACCCTTCTGTCTCCTTGCTCAAGACCTGTCTGCAAGGTGGTCAGGCAGTTGGTGTAGGAGAGGTAGATGTCTGCTATAACTGAGAACCTGGAAACTACATACAATCCCACATTAGTGACCAGGTGGTGATTGTATATGGTGACTATTATGCAGTCATCAAAAAAGGGTTTTTATAGGATATCTAATGTACGCTTATTATGAGTTAGATGGAAAAGTAAGCACAACCATGTGCTGTATTTTAAAGAATACAATAAATATTTACATAAGATAGACCAGAAGAAAATAATTCATTGAAATGTTACTAGCAGTTAACTTTAAGTTTGGATTAAGGGTGATTTATACTGATTTTATGTGTTTATGTACTGTCTGCCTATACTTTGTGGAATGAGCACGACTTAGTTATATAGTCTGTTAAACTGAGCCTTGGAATAATGTATACCAGAATTCCTTGGTTCCAGTAAAGATGTTCTGGGTTCTCTCAGCAGCTTTTTTCTCCCCTTGCTCAGTAGACTTTCTCTGAGCTCTACCCTTGGGCTGTCCCCCTGCTTGGGCCACAACCCTTCCAGAACCCCTTCCACTCTGCTTTCTGCTGGTTGTCCATGTATAAAGCCATCTCCTCTGTGAGCCCTGAGGCAGGGACCACTCTGGTGTGCATATTTTGGACAGGCTTTGATTTCCACTTCAAAATCTCAGCAGTTGCTATTTGAATAGAGTTGAATACACCCTGTATGTCAGCAGGAACTGTGACCGAGGCTTCCATGACTGGCAGTGTTGATGGGGCTGAGCAGATGAAAAGGTTTTTTTCAGTCGTTTCGTTAACCTTTGCTGCTTCTTTGCTTTTAGCTCACGTGTCTGAAACGGCCTCTGGTTGTCATCCATGAGCTGTTTGACAAATCCATCATGGATATTTCCTGGTAAGATGGATTCTTGTTATGTTGCATAAGCTAAGAAAGGAGAAGCCACACCTTTTGGAACACGAGGATGTGATCAGGGTCAGTTGCCAGCAGGCCCTCCCCAGCTACCACAGCTGGAGCAGGCCTCATGGGTGCTGTTTGCACCTGATTCAGGAACTGGCGATTCTGTGCCTGCTCTTGGGAGAATGTTTGCTGCAGCGCTCCATACTCCTTACAGGATTCGCCGCTGGAAGATGTGTGGGGTTTGTCTGAGCAAAGAGGAATGATGTGACCCCTGTGGAATTCTACTTCATTGTCATTACATTAACCACAGTAGCATAGGTTTGGGGACCTGTTTTCTATTTCTCAGTGACCTTATTTAGATGCATACTTCTTCAAGTTATTTTTGCAATGGTTTCAAAAATAAGATAAATAAAAATGAAATTCTTATAAAACGTGGTGAGAGAAACTTCATACATGCGATTAGAACTAAAGGACACCAAGGCCCTCTGGGAGGTGATTGTCCCACCCTAGGCCACGGAAGGGAACCAGTGGTTTCTGGCATCTACCTAGAGCACTGCCCCACCATCCTCACTGGCCAGCTACTAAGGCTAGGTGTCTGTCCCAGGTACTTGCTCCCAGGCTGCTGATAGTCATCTCTTCCAGGACTCTGAACGGACTGGGAATTCTGGTGTGCTCCATGGACGGCTCTGTGGCGTTCCTAGACTTCTCCCAGGATGAGCTTGGAGACCCCCTGAGCGAGGAGGAGAAGGTAGGAGAAGGGCACATCACTGGCTGGTGGTCCTGGGCACTGCTGCACTCCAGGGCCACAAAAGTAACCACAGTGGCTCTGAGTGGCCCCTTTGACTGGACCCTCTTCTTGTGAGATACACAGAGACATAGTTTTCTAAAGTGCTATTTGGTGTTCTCCTTTTATAGATTGTAATCCTTATCTTCTTTACAAAATAGATTAATTTAAAAATGAGTCCCCATTCCTGTGGGAAACAAGGTCTGGAATTAAGAATAAAACTACTTTGGGCATGTCCTCTTGTGCTGATAATAGGCCACATAGTAGGAGCTTTCACCCTGGGAGAGAGCTGGAGTGACTCCACAAGGGTCCCACGCATGTCACTTTCTGTATTGACATAGTTGCCATGGAGCAGTGTGTACAATAGTAATATTTATTATTTCTTAGGACTTACTGTATGTCAGGCTCTGAGCTATGCATTTTGCATATATTATCTCATTTAAATCACACCAAAACCCTTCAAGACAGGGCTAGTTACTTGTTTCATCCATGAGGTAACTAAGCCTCAAAAGATGTCCAGGTCCTTGGCCAAGACAGTACGTGACCCTCGGGTACGAGAATAGAAGCACGGACGTGAACCCAGGCCCGCTGACTTTGGGCCAGGCCCTCCTCTGTGCTGTTTGCAGGGCAGTGTGGTCTGTGTGCCCTTCTTCAAGGGCTTCTGGGAAGGCTCTGCTTTATTTACCGTAAACGTAGAACCCTGCCATTCCTATAAAATGATCTTTGCCAACTTTTAGTGGAATGTGCTCACTGGTCTGAAATGCATCCTGTGAATGTGCAGCGCAGGTAGGCAGCTGTCCCCTTAGTGATGCTATTGCTTGTTGACACTCCCTCTGAAGCTACTGTGTGGCTCCTGTCACTGAGATATAAACCCCTCGGGGGCAGGGGTCTGCCTTTTACTGCATGCCCACACCTAAACAGGGCCTGGCACCCAGTCATTTTTCACCGAAAGAGTGAGTATCTCAGTGGCTTCAGGTCTTATTTCTACCTTGTCACCATCATGCTAATAACCTGAGATTGCTATGTACCCTCCCATTGGAGAGTCAAAGTGGGAGCCTATGGAATAACCCCATCTCGTTTACCCTTTCCTTGTGACAGGCAGGAACACCGTGTTTGAGGAACACTAGGGAAACATTGCCAAACTGAATTCTGGCTGGAGATTCAGGGGGTGAATGTGAAAGAGAGGGAGCAGGAGCCAAGGTGGCAAGGGAGGGCAGTTCTTTGCCGTGTTTAGGCATACCAGGCCCTGCAGGATCAGGTCCCAAGACACCCCCTGGACTGCCACCTTCCCCACACAGCATCCTCTGGTGAGGCAGTGCTCTGTGAACCACAATCCCTGCTCCTGGGCAGAATACCACATTGGTCATTTGCATATTCTGTGTGAGTCACCCCTTACCACACTTTGTGAGTGCACATAATTATGGTGTGCTGGGGACGCTGTCTCTGCCCTCCTGGGTTTCCTGTGCAACTTGTGGCATAATGAGACCTAGGAAGATGGGAGAGAGGGGAAAGTGCCAAGGGAGGGTTTCCCGTAGGTCTGTGGTACCTAAGGTATTAGAGATACTGTTAGCAACTCCATGGGGACCTGCCACCGTGTGGGGCTGATGTTTGAAGACAATAGCAGTGAAAGCAGACCCTTGGTTTCAATATTTGATTTCCAAAGAGTGTCTGGGGTCCTTGGAGTGACTTAACAGCCTTAAATTAGCGATTTGAGCATCATAATTTGATTTCAGCAAATATTTGTTTCCATTTGTTCTGTGTCAGGCCATGTAGTAGGTGTTCTTTTGTCAGTCATCTCACTTTCATCCCCACCTATAGAAACACAGAGGGTATAAACATCTAGGGGAAGATCAGACTTCTCCAGAGTTACCTAATCAGTAAGAGGCAGAATAAGTTGGAGGCAGTAGAGAGCTGGCATCCAGGGCTGTGGGTTCCCTGCCCAGGGCCCTTTCTGCTCTCAGCCAGGAAAGGCCACACCAGTAGAACTGGGTGTTGCTGCTCACACCTGGCTTCTTGTACCTCTCTTTGCCTCCTCCAGAGCCGCATTCATCAGTCCACCTATGGAAAGAGCTTGGCCATCATGACCGAGGCCCAGCTCTCCACAGCTGTCATTGAGAATCCTGAGATGCTCAAGTACCAGCGGAGGCAGCAGCAGCTGGATCAGAAGAGTGCTGTGGCTAGAGAGATGGGCTCAGCCACCTCAGTCGCGGTCAACGGGGAGAGTTTGGAGGACATCAGGAAGGTGAGGGGTTGGCCTGCTGGCACTGAGGACATGGGCGCATGCCCAGGCATAGGAGGGAAGAGGGACATGACAAGGGGAACAGGTAGGCAGTGTGTGGCATAGGCAGTCAGGACAGAATGTGACAGTGGGTGATGAGGTGCTTCTGTGCCGAGCTTGGCACAGGACCCAGGGTAAGCCAACTTGTGGCCAGTTGTCCCCATTACATTCAGCTGCATGATTCCTTAATGGGGCCTTGAGCACCTTTGTCCATAGCCTCCCTGTCCTGGAGAGTCCTAGAGGAGGTCATTTCCTGTAGGAACTTCTGAACCATACCTATTGGGCCTTTCTAAGAAATTCTAAATGCTGAGGACAATGTTCTTCAGGCTCTTTATCTGTGTTAGACATTGGGCTTCTCTGGAAGCCCATGTTTCACTAGGGGGTGTGGGGTTAGGAAGTGCCAGGATTACCTGGGAAGCTTAAACTATCTGCAGGAGCTTGTGTAGGTTGACAAACCTCTCCCTAGTGATTCAGACATAATGTGTGATTAAGAACCTTTGTTTGTAAGCCTTCATTGGAAGAAAGAACTCTGTGACTAAAGAAAGTTTGAAAATCACTGCCTAGAGATACGAGTATGACTCAAGGGTGCAGTTCTCATTCCTGGTGTCCACCCACTGAACCCCGTGGCTGTTGGGCAGGGGTGGTCAGCCCGGCGTGGGCTCACTGCCCTGGGAACCTCACCAGGCCAGAGGTACTGATGATGGGGAGGGAGTTACCTGAGCTGTTTATCTGGGAACTTCCTCATGTAGGAAGTTGAGCACATTCCCTGATTAAAAAAATGCTTGTTCTTTGATGGGGTGGCTTAGTTTAGTTGTCCCAAAAAGGCCCAGGAAGGGAAGTTAGAATACATTTCCTTAGAAGACTTATTTTTTGATACTTAAGAAATAGTTGGCAGAAACCGTCCATTCATTTATGTCACTCTCCCCTGCCAGAATCTTTTAAAGAAACAAGTTGAGACTCGGACAGCAGATGGTCGGAGAAGAATCACGCCTCTCTGCATAGCACAGCTGGACACTGGGTATTCGTGCATTCACCAAGCTTTCTGTGACCTTGTCTGGGGAGGTCTTCCTGTCTCCTTTCACCAGTTAGTGCTTTCATATTCAGGGTCTTCACAGGTTCTTGGGCCCTTCTGACTCATAGAATATAAAAGTGAGATTCCACCAGCCTCAAACCCCCATGCTCCTCACAGAGCTTTCATACACACTTCACTCATGCTGAAGGGCTGATGGAGGAAATCTTTGAGGCCAGGCTGAAATGCCAGCGGGGCATCTTCTCAGCTCAGTGTCCTCCGTGCTCCAGCCATGCTTGATTGTGGGAGCACCGGAAGACACACTTGGTAAAGAGTTCAAACTTTTTTTTTCTTTTGTAACTTTTTTCTGATTGTAAAGGTAATACATACACATTGTTGAAAATTTAGAAAATAGTGAAAGCTCAAAGAAGAACATAAACATTACCAGTTTTTCAGATACAATCACTGTTAACAGTATTACTTCCAGTCTTTTTTCTATGAATATTTGTGTGTATGAGTGTAAGTATAAAATAGAGTTATAACTCATGTGTTGTAACCTGCTTTTCCTCCCACTTACTGTATCCTGACCTTTCACTCATTTTAATAAATAGTCCTCTGAAGCACTGACTTGCTGATTATCCAGATTCCCATCCTATGAATGCACCATGATTTATTTAACCAGGCCGTTAACTGTGGACTTAGAGTTTGTGTCCCGGTTTTCATGATTATAAGTGAATCTTTGAGCACGCTTGTGACTGTTCCCCTCGGGATAATTCCTAGAAATGGAATTGCTGTGCGAAGTGTAGGCCTCTGAGACACATTTCCCACTGGAGGTGGGGAACTGGGAGTGGGAGTGGAGAGGGAGCAGTGGTCACATTCACCATTTGCCATTGTCTCAACATCTAGAGTCAAGCTTTTGTGTTGCTCTCTTCAAAATGAGGTATGTTGATTCAAAGTAAATAGGGCCCCATGTGAAAGAAATAGATGCTTACTATCAAGATCATTCACACTGGGTACTATAATCATTCAGCTGACCTGCGCAGGGCATCCAGGGTGCTTTGTGAAGACCATGCACAGTAGTCTTCCGCACTGTGGTTTTTTCACCCATAAGTTTTTCTGAATCTTCTTAAAGTCTGGTGAGGCTTCCAATCATCCATGTGTCAGTCAGACTTCTTGTGTTAGGTGTGTGGACACAGACCTTGGAGGGCAAAGACCTGACTGGGTGGAGCTAGAACCAGGCCTCCTGACTCCTTTAAGAATAGGAATTTTCTTTTGATAAAGCCTTTTTCCCCTTGGGACCGTACAGGGGTAATGCCACCTGCCTACTTTTTATTAGGACAAATTAGACCAATCAGGTGAATGTGCTTTGAATACTGCTGCGCCTAAGGGAGTGAGGGGCATGGATGTGGTAGTAGTCACACTTCTGTTCTCTGGGTCCGTCTAGGCCTCACTTTGTGAGGAGGCAGAGGAGAAAAGTGGCTTCCTGCATGGCCTTGAGCCAGCTTTCTGCCAATAGGGTGCATATTTCTGACATTAGAACCTGATCCCTTTGGTCTTAAAGGCTTTTTCGCCCTCCAGCTTGCCTGTTAAAACAAGTAGCAACGGAATAGATAAATTGTTAGCTTAGCCAGTCCAGAAAAGAAATAGCACAAATATTCCAGTAGAAATAACTAGGAAATAACCACAGATACAAAATAAATCAAAAGGATAAGAGACTTCTTTGCCGAAATCTGTGCAAATTTAAAATGAATGATTTTTTTAAGGAAAAGAAAGTCACCAAAAGAAGAAAATCTGTACAGATGAATTATTATAAAAGAAGTAGAAGACACTGTCAAAGAGTTAACCCCACCAAGGCCAACAGACTAAGAGGGCTTCAGAGGGGAATGTTAACAAATTTTTTAAGTAACACATAGCTCTAATACTACGTAAAATGTTCTAGTGCATAGAAAAAGAAGGAAAGCTTACAAATTCTGTTTATGAAATGAATATATCAAAACATGATGAAGATTGAACATAATAAATTCCGGATCAGTCTTACTTCTAAGTATCAATGTAAAAATCCCAAGTAAATAGTAGCAAACAAAGGCTTATAGCATAGTAACAGACTAGTACACCATGATCAAATAAGGTTTATTTCATGAAAGCAAGGAGGTTCAAATTTTGGAGAGTATTAATTTAATTCTACGTGTTAATATATCAAAAGAAATAAATTATGCGATCATCTCCATAGATGCTGGAAGTCATCTAGATGAAATTCAGCATCATTCTTGATTTAAAACACAATTATACGGGAGTCGATGACTATCTTATTTCAAATTCAAGAACTAAATAAACATCTACTCTCGTGACTGTGATTTAACCTCAAAACGATGTTATAGTCATGAGTTTCTAGCCTATGCATTTAATCAAGAGAAAGAAATAAACTGTAAAAAGTATGAATCCAGGAAAATACGAAGCTGTCAAAAATGAAATGGAACACCTGAAGATCAATATTCTAGGCATTAGTGAGCTGAAATGGACTGATATTGGCCATTTTGAATTGGAGAATCATAGTCTGCTATACTGGGAATGACAAATTGAAGTGGAACGGCATCTCATTCATTATCAAAAAGATTCATTATCAAAAAGATCTATCCTGAAGCACAAAGCTGTCAGGAATAGGATCATATCCATACACCCAGAGGAGGACTGGTTAATACAACTATTATTCAAATTTTTGCACCAACTACTAATGCCAAAGATGAAGAAATTGAAGATTTTTACCAACTTCTGCAATCTAAAGTTGATCAAGCATGCAACCAATATGCATTAGTAACTACTGGTGACTGGAATGTAGAAGCTGGAAACAAAGAAGAAGGATTAGTATTTGGAAAATATGGCCTTGATGATAGAAAAGATGCTGGAGGTCACGTGATAGAATTTTGCAAGACCAACAGCTTATTCATTGGAAATACCTTTTTTCAACAGCATAAATGGCAACTTACACATATGGACCTCTCCAGATAGAATACACAGGAATCATATCAATTACATCTGTAAAAAGAGATGATGGAGAAGCTTCATATCATCAATCAGAACAAGGCCAGGTGCCAGTTGCGGAACAGACCATCAGTTGCTTATATGCAAATTCAAGTTGAAGCTGGAGAAAATTAAAACCAGTCCACAAGAACCAAAGTATGACGTTGAATATATCCCACCTGAATTTAGACACCATCTCAAGAATAGATTTATCACATTGAACACTAATGACCAAAGACCAGAAGAGTCGTGAGATGACATCAAGAATATCATACATGAAGAAAGCAAAAGGTCATTAAAAAATACTGGAAAGAAAGAAAAGACCAAAATGGATGTCAGACGAGACTCTGAAACTTGCTCTTGAAGGTAGAGTAGCTAAAGCGAATGGAAGAAATGATGCAGTAAAAGCTGAACAGAAGATTTCAAAGGGCGGCTTGAGAAGACAAAGTAAAATATTATACTGAAATGTGCAAACACCTGGAGTTAAAAAACCAAAAGGGAAGAAGATGCTTGGCACTTCTCAAGATGAAAGAACTGAAGAAAAATTTTCAAGCCTCGAGTTGCAGTTTTGAAGGTGTCTATGGGCAAAATATTGAATAATGCAGGAAGCATCAAAAGAAGGTGGGAGGAATACACAGAGCCACTGTACCAAAAAGAACTGGTCAACATTCAACCATTTCAGGAGGTAGCATATGATCAAGAACCGATGGCATTGAAGGAAGAAGTCCAAGCCGCACCAAAGGCACTGGCAAAAAACAAGGCTCTAGGAATTGATGGAATATCAGTTGAGATGTTTCAGCAAACTGATGCAACACTGGAAGCACTCACTCATCTATGCCAAGAAATATAGAGGACAGCTACCTGGTCAACTGACTAGAGGAGATCCATATTTGTGACGATTCCAAAGAAAGGTTATCCAACAGAATGTGTAAATTATTGAACAGTATCATTAATATCACACACGAGTAACATTTTGCTGAAGATAATTAAAAAATGGTTGCAGTGGTACATCAGCAGGGAACTGCCAGAAATTCAGGCCAGATTCAGAAGAGGACATGGAACAAGGGATATCATTGCTGATGTCAGATGGATTTGGCTGAAAGCAGAGAATACCAGAAAGACATTTACCTTTTTTCTATTGGCTATGCAAAGGGATTTGACTGTGTGGATCATAACAAATTATGGATAACATTGCTAAGAATGTGAATTTTATAACAGTTGTGCTCATGTGGAACCTGTGTGTAGACCAAGAGGCAGTTGTTTGAACAAAATAAGGGGATACTTATAGGTTTAAAATCAGGAAAGGTGAGTATTGGGGTTGTATCCTTTCACCATACTTAAATTCAGTCTGATACAGAGCAAATAATCCGAGAAGCTGAGCTATATGAAGAAGAACATGGCATCAGGACTGGAGAAGAACTCATTAACAACCTGCAATGTGCAGATGACACTACCTTGCTTGCTGAAAATGAAGAGGACTTGAAGTACTTGCTGATGAAGATCAAAGACTCCAGCCTTCAGTATGAATTACACCTCAACATAAAACAAAAATCCTCACAACTGGACCAATAAGCAACATCATGATAAATGGAGAAAATATTGACGTTATCAAGGATTTCATTTTACTTGGATCCACAATCAGCACCCATGGAAGCAGCAGTCAAGAAATCAAACGATCTATTTGCATTGGGCAGATCTGCTGCAAAAGACCTGCTTAAAGTGTTAAAAAGTAAAAATGTCGTTTTGAGGGCTAAGGTGAGCCTGACCCAAGCCATGGCATTTTCAGTCACTTCATAATACATGTGAAAGCTGGACAGTGAATAAGGAAGACTGAAGAATTATGAATTATGGTGTTGGTGAAGAATATTGAATATACCATGTAATGCCAGAAGAATTAACAAATCTGTCTTGGAAGACGTACAACCAGAACACTCCTTAGAAGTGCGGATGACAAGACTTCATCTCACATACTTTGGACATGTTATCAGGAGGGACTAGTCCCCGGAGAAGGACACCATGCTTGGCAAAATAGTAGGTCAGTGAAAAAGAGGAAGACTGCCCAATGTGGTAGATTGACACAGTGGCTGCTATAATGGGCTCAAATATAGCAATGATTGTGAGAACGGTGCAGAACCGGGCAGTGTTTGTTTTTGTTGTACTTAGGGTTGCTGTGGGTCGGAACCGACTCGATAGCACCCAACAGCAACAGAGCTTCTAACCCATGCAGTTAATCGAGAGAAAGAATAAAGGTATAAAAACTGGAAAAAAGGAGGTAAAATGTATCCTTTAAAGGTGGTACTATCTACAAGAGAATCCACTGATAAAACTACCATAGACAGTAAAAGAAGACGTATAAGGTGACTGGATCCAACCAACATAATGAGATCAAGTAGTACCAAGTACTATTTAGAAGATATAAAAGAGTAAATCACATTCAGAAATGAAAAACTTAGAATATAACAAGAAGTATAGACCCCTAATTTTATAAAGAAATACTTTAAAACCCTACTGAGAGAGTTAAAAGAAAACAAAGAAATAACTAGAAATACATACCATTTATTAGCTAGGATGATTCAACATCATAAAGACGTCAGTTCCCCCTTAACCTTTAAATTTAACATGTACCAATGCAAATAACCACAGCAATTTTCAGAATAAGACAAGCAGATCCTAAAAAAGTTCACGTCGAAAAATAAATAATCAAGAATAGCCAAAATATTTCTGAAAAAGAAGATTTGTTGGGGAAGACTAGTCTCACCAGTAATTAAAACTTATAAGTTATAGTAATTAAAACAGTGAGTTACTGACACTTGACGAGACAGGAATGGAATATAACAGAAAATATACCCAAATATTTATGGGAATTTTAAAGGTAATATTTCACATCAGTCAAGAAGTTTGATAATTCAGTAAACGAAGTTAGGACTAGAAACATAGTTGGATCCCTACTTTACTAGTACCTGTTGCCAGTTAGTTGACTCCAACTCATGGCAACCCCGTATATGTCAGAGTGGAACTGTGCTCCACAGGGTTTTCAGTGGCTGATCTTCTGGAAGTAAATCACCAAGCCTTTCTTCCGTGATGCCTTGGGGTGGACTTGAACCTACAACCTTTTAGTTAACAGCCAAGTTCATTAACTGTTTATGCCATCCTACTTTACAAGTGGGGCCCTGGTAGTGTGGTGGTTAAGAGCTCAGCTGTTAACCAAAAGGTCAGCAGTTCGAACCCACCAGTTAAATTTAACTTATAGTTAAATTCATTCTTGATTGTTCAGATTTTTTCTCTATTTAACTTTTGTTGTTGTTGTTTTTTAAGTTTGCTTTTGCTTTAGGTGAAAGTTTACAGAGCAAATTAGTTTCTCATTCAAAAATATATGTACAATTTGTTTCATGACATTAGTTGCGATCCTTGCAATGTGTCACCACTCTACCCTTTTCCACCCTGGGTTCGCTGTTTCCATCCATCCAGTTTTCCTGTCCCTTCCTGCCTTCTGATCTTTGCTTTTGGGCAGGTGTTGCCCATTTGGTGTCATATACTTGATTGAACTATGAAACACGTTCCTCACATGTGTTATTGTTTGTTTTATAGACCTGTTGGCTGAAAGGTGAACTTCTGGAGTGGCTTCAGTTCTGTGTTAGCAGGGTGTCCAGGGGCCATAGTCTTGGGGGTTCCTCCAGTATTGCTTAATTTTTTTTTTTTTTTTTAATTTTAGAAGATTTCATGGAGGGGTATGTTTTCAAAGTTGGGTAAAAAGTCTTCTCTACAAATGATAGAACATTAAGACCACTTAAAAATAGCATATTCTGGCAAGGAAAAATACACCATAGACAATGAAAACACAATAACTTGGGGAAGGTATTTCTTGCTCATGTAAGAAATGTTTTTCTTAATAGGTAAAGAGGTCCTACAAATCAATCAGCAGTACAGACCAATAACCAAATAGAGCAGTAGATGAAGGACATGAACAGACAATTCACAGAAAAAACAGAAAATCAAATGTTTCTATATGAAAAAAAGTTCAGTCTCACAACAAAATAATTGCAAGTTGAAACCATAATAAGATACCAGCTTTCACCTGTCAGATTGGTAAATAGCAAGAAATTTGATAACTTGGTGAGGGTATGAGGAAATAGCCACTCTTCGTATATGGCTTGTAAATTGGTTAAACCTCTGAGGAGGGTATTTGAGAAACAGTAATCAAAAATAATTAATGAACATTCCATTTGCTTCTGCAGTTCTACTTATAGAAATTTATCCTACGCAGTATGTGAAGTGACAGGCGTGATGATGATAATTATAATATTAGGCGTGTTTGAGCAGCTACTGTGTGTTCTAAAGGAGCCCTGATGGTGCAGTGGTTAAGGCACTCAACTGCCAACCAAAAGGTCAGCAGTTTGAAATCACCATCAGCTCCACGGGAGAAAGATGTGGCAGTCTGCTTCCGTAGAGATTTACAGCCTTGGAAACGCTATGTGGTCACTGTTAGTCGGAATCGACTCGATGGCATTGGGTTTGGCTTTTTGATGTGTTCGAATATATGCTGCATTAGCTGCTTTAGTCCTAACAGTGACAATTGTGCAGCTAGGAGTCTGAGGCAAAGAGTGGTAAGGTACCCATGGTCACAGAGCTGGCAAGTGGCAGAGGAGTTAGACCTGAGCAGTCCGGCCCACGCCTCTCAGTCTTAACACTGCAATATATTGCCTCTTGTTGCAGTAGTATCTGTTATAGGAAAAACTGGGAGACAGCCCTGACATTCTTCATTAGAGGCTGGATTAAATCATGGTACATCCAAATAGTGGTATGCCCTTAACAAAAAGGTGGCCCTCTATATACTGCATTTCATTAGTTCTAAGACATGTTTGAGTCAGAATTGACTCAATGGCACACAGCAACAAAAAAGACACGTTTGCATATTTTAACACCTCTGAAATCAGGGTGCATCTTATGATCAATGATGTGTGACAATTATAATTGGTAGCATTTTTTTCTTTCTAGTGGTACATAAAGTACCAGTGCATCTTATAATCAGTGGTATCTTAGATTTAACTAAAAATAGTGTATCAAGTAATTTTAATTTTCTTTCTGCTTTTCTGTAACTGTCCAAAATTTCTGCCATAAACATGTAGTTCCTTAGTACTGAGAGGAAAAAAAAAAGTTATTTAGAATGTATAAAGTACTTGCCGTGGTTTCTTATTTTTGAGATTGACTTTCATTCTTGCTTGGTGACAGGGACTTCTCCACGGCATTCTTTAACAGCATCCCACTTTCTGGGTCTCTGGCGGGAACCGTGCTCTCCTCTCATAGCAGTCCACAGCTACTGCCACTGGATTCCAGTACCCCCAACTCCTTCGGAGCCTCGAAGCCTTCCACAGAGCATATGGCGGCAGTTGGCGCCAAGCCTGTGGGCGAATCTGTCAGTAAAGACAGGTTAGTCGTCCCTGGGGAAAATTCAGGTTTGGTCACAGTTGCAGGTAGAGAGAATTTCATTCTACTTGCACTTTCTGGCCCCTTTAATAAGGAAAGAAATGCTTGATGTCAAATGAGGGCATCCTCAGAAGGGAAGCACTTAGTCGGGTGAGTCTCTGATGCACAGAACCATAAGGACTTCACAAGGAGGATGTCATAACTAGCCAGTGGTGTGGTTCTGATGGAAAGATGCATCCCAAGGGCTGAGCTGCTAGGATTGGGAAAGCTGTTGGTGAGATTTTGCCTCTGTAGGGTCTACACTGCAGGTGGCCTAGCATTTCTGAAGCTTGGGCCTCTACTTTGCTCTGCTGGGAGCATCACCACACTCATTCATCCTAGCCAGGTGCTTGTGCGCTAGGGCTCAGACACACCTTACCACTCTCAGAATTATATTCACTCAAAGAGCCCGTGTCTTCACTGACGGTTACCTGGAAACCAAATTAAAAGTCAAAAAGGACCAGGTGTACATGAGTAAGATCCAGGAATTCTTCATTCATCAGCAAACATTTGCCCAGCATTTGCTTTGGGTTACACACTATGCTAGGGCCCAGGCACCCATGGGTGATTGATTGATTGGTGCCTTTACTCAGGGAGTATATAGGCGAGTGGGAGAAGAGGCAGCCACAGGATTGCAGAAATAGCTCTTTGAATCCCCTGGGAAAAGATGGCTAGCCATCTCGGGGGTTGGTGGCCAGGTCTCAGGAAGGCTTCTCATATGTGTGTGCCACCCAAGGACCGTACAAGCCAACCAAGGGAAGGACCATACAAGCCAACCAAGAGAGGCAGTAGAGATAGCGGTAAGATCAGAGACCCTGAGGAGTGGCAGGAAAGAGGAGAGAAAAGCTGGGCTTCTGTGCTGAACCAGGGACTCTAGTCTTTTTCCCTAGAGACCATAGAGAGACACAGAAGCCTTTTAGTAAGATCACTCCAGCAGACAGTGGTACCCAGATTTAGCCATCGCCTTAGACCCAAGTGATACTGTCAGAAGTGAGTCTCCATTGGTGGAGATGGAGTCTTGTGCTATTGCAGCCCTCTATTTGTGGGTGCTGGTTTCATGACCATGGAGGCATGCACTAAGGGTCAAGAGTCACTGCTTTAAGGGAAGTGTAAGGTAGAGTTAGAAGAGAAGGAGCCAGGGTTAGGAAGCAAACTGTCCAGGGAGGAAGGATGGAGGTGTGGGCTTGATCTGAGTCCTAGGTCCTGAAAGGACAGATAGCCCAGATCTGAAAATTTTCGGGGATCTACCCTTACATAACTTGGTTGTCACAGGTCATGGGGAAGGAGGAGAGGGCTTTCCAGGATGACTGCCAGGCAGGTGGATGAAGGTCAGGGTGCATCAGCCTGGATAAGGTCAGCAGGATGGCCAGCCTTTGGACTGAGTGTGCGAGACAAGCTTGGGCATGGAGATAAGTGGGCAGGCTCATGCCTGGGCCTCTCTAACCTATGGAGTGAGTACTTGGAGGAGAGTACTGGAAACTTTTTTAGTCTCAGTGAGAGCTGGGAGGGGCTTCCTGGGTGGCAGGGGCTTGGCTGAGAATGAAGCAATGGCTTCAGGACTCTGAATGGGGGCTTTTCTGGTCAGATCCATTGTGCAAGCAGGAAAGGCTGGTGGTTGTAGTGGTTTCAGGTGGAAATGTTGTACTCAGGTCATGGAGATGGGGCAGTATGGTTGGGGAGAAGGCTTGTAAGGATCGTTTTCAGGGCCTCGTGCTGCCCCACAAGCTCTCAGAACAATGCAAAGGGCCAAATGTGAATGCACTGCACATGACCTCAAGTAGCCAAGCTTCTAGAACTTTAACACTGGAAAATGTTAAAGAAAAAGTCAGGAATAGTAGATTGCACCTTGAAATTTTTTTGTTTATAGAAAGTTCGACGTTCCTGCCCCTTTTGCTTGGCTCTAAGTAACACAGATCCCAGACTCCCAAATCCTTGCTATGTCTGCTTGATGTACTCTCTTATCTTCTCCCCAACCCCCCAGTGTGACTGCTACCTCTGCTTCTGCTGCGTCGTCCCCCTCTGTGCTAACCACCCCGTCCAAGATTGAACCCATGAAAGCGTTTGACTCGCGATTCACAGAGCGATCCAAAGCCACGTCGGGTGCTCCCGCCATGACCAGCGTGACACCAACAGCCGTTGAAAGGTAGGTGGTGGCTGCCTGGGTTCCTGAGAGATCGGGGAAGGTACAGATGTGAGGCTGGCAGTGCAGGTCCACTTTCCCACCAAGGAGTCTGCCCTTACCATCGGGAGAGCCTATCCAGTCACTCCAGGACACGGGCGCAAGACTGCAGGGCCCTTGGTGAGCTGCGAGGCTGCTTTTTGCTGGAAGATGGCTGGAGGAGCCATGGGGGAGGGCTCAGAACTGGTCAGTGCAGAGGCTATGCTTAGAAGAATGTGGTAGTTTGAATGGAGCCCGGGGTTTACCAAAAGGGAAGCAAGAGAATGGTTGGAGAGGTGGATGGCTCTGGTATTGTGGCACTGTGGAAACAATGGCCTTTTGCTCAGAAACTGACCAGGAGGTAGGGAGATTGGATAAAAGTGATTTGGGTGGGGTCTTTGTGAAGGCCAATGGCTTCTGAGGTCTTGTAGGCTCTTTGCTACTTGTCTGTTCTCTGTGCTCACCCCATTTGATGACAGCCAGGTCACATAGGATGTAGTTCTTTATTTCTTGGGGGTGCGGGAAATCCTCCTCCTGAGGCGACCAGAGCAATTGTGTGCAGCCTCTACTCACTGGCACCCAGCTTTTCTGCATCCTGCTAGGATCCCTCCTTCCAAGCCACTGTAGGGAACTGAGTGTGCATCCAGTGAGTCAGGAGCTAGATAAAGTAAGAAGTGGGCCTGGCCACCTTGCTCCACAGGGGCCGGGATCCTAAGTGCTGTCCTGTCGTGGGTGCATCCACTGCAGGGTGACTAGGGGCTGCTTGTCTGGACTTGTCTGCTTTGTCAAAGGTCAGCTGATTGTATTTGTGTGGGTCTATTTCTGGGCTCTCTATGCTGCTCCATTGACCTATATGTCTCTTTTTTTCGCCAATACCACACTGTCAGAGTGCAATAAAAAACAAAACTATTCGTTTTGTAACTGTTTTCTGTTCATTGCACTTATTCTTTGGTTTGTTGTTGTTTTGTTTTTATTTTCCCTCTCTTCTGCCTTCTTTGGTTTTAACTGAGCTTTTATATGATTCTTTTGTCTCTCCTTTCTTAACACAGCAATTATACTTTTTTTTTAAATGTATTAGTTGTTGCCCTAGAGTTTGTAATATACATTTGCAACTAATCTAAGTCCATTTTCAGAGAACACTACACCATTTCATGTATGTACAGGAGCCTTGTAACAGAGTATTCCTATTTCCTCCCTCGTATCCCTTATAACATGACTGTCATTCATTTCACTTATCCATAAGCTATAATCATCTAATACATTGTTACTATTATTTTGAACAAACATTTATTATATCAGTTAAGGATAAGAAAGAAGATTGTATTTTACTTTTACTCCTTCTTTAACAGTCTTCCTTTCTTTATGTAGAACTGAGTGTCTGACCTATATCATTTTCTTTCTCTGAAGAACTTAACATTTCTTGCAAGCAGGTCTACTGGCAACAAATTTCCTGTTTTGGGATTTGTTTGTTTTGTTTTGTTTTTTTTGTCTGAGAAATTCTTTATTTCTCCTTCACTGTTAAAGGATAATTAATTTCATCGGATACAGAATTCTAGGTGGTGGTTGGTTTTTTTTTTCTCAACACTAAATATTTCACTCCGTACTCTTCTTGCTTGCATGATTTCTGAAGAGAAGTCTGATGTAATTTTATCCTTCTTCCCTTATAGATAAGGTGGTTTTTTCCACTGGTCTCTTTGTCTTTGTCTTTCTGCAGTTTGAATATGATGTGCAAAAGTGTAAATTTTTTGGTATTTATCCTGCTTGAGGTTCTCTAAGCTTCCTGGATCTGTAATTTGGTGTCTGTCATTGGTTTTCGAAAATATTCAGACATTATTCCTTCAAATATTTTTTCTACTCTTTTTCTCGTTCTCCTGGTATTTCCATTATGTGTATTTTACATCTTTTGTAATTGTCCTACAGTGCTTGGATAGTCTCTTCATTTTTTTGGTTTTGATTTTATTTTCATTCTTTTTTCTCTGCATTTCAGTTTGGGAAATTTCTTTTGACATATCTTCAAGCTCACTGAGACTTTCCTCAGCTGTGTCTAGTCTAATGAGTTTGTCAAAGGCATTCTTCATTTCTGTTACAGTATTTTTGATGTCTAGCATTTCTTTTTTATTCTTTCTTAGCATTTCCATCTGTCTGCTTACCATTACCCACCTGTTCTTGCATGTTGCCTACTTTTTCCATTAGAGCTCTCGGCATATTAATCATAGTTACTTTAAATTCCTGGTCTCATAATTCCAAAATCTCTGCCATATCTGAGTCTAGTTCTGATGCTTGCTTTGTCTCTTCAGACTCGGTTTTTGTTGTATGTTTGTTTGGTGTCTTTTACCATGCGTTGTAATTTTTTGTTGACAGCCAGACACAGTGTATTGAGTATTAGGAATTGAGATAAATAAGCCTTTAGTGTGAGGTTTTATGTTTATCTAACTAGGAGTTAGGCTGTGTTTGCTCTTTGCTATGGCTTTCAGTGTCAGAGACTTCAATTTCCTCTAATGTCCTTGTTTTTGTCCCTCTTATTGTCTTTGGGTGTTCCAAAAACTACTTCTTAAGTAGAGTCTGTGTCTTGCAGTTATCTCAGTTATAATCCGTTGTTATTACACTGGAGCCCAGTTGATATGGTTGTGAGGCATTAGCGATAGTGAGCCTTATATAATCTCAAGATTAAATCCCTAGTTTTTTCATGGGCCAGAGTCCCTGAGCTGTGACTTTCAGAAGAGTTTCTTAGCCTTTTTTTCTCCCTTCATGTAAGCCAGGAAGGCTAGAGGACCTGACGTTGGCTAATTGCCCTTTCCCCAGGTCAGCTAAGGCTCCGGTAAAGTAGTATCCCTTGAGGGCAGGCCTTTGCTATAGAGAGCAGAAGTCTGGGTATAATTGTTCTTTTTCCCTTCCCACACTGGAATTTTTTTTGTCTTCACTGGGGAGAACCTGGTAGGGCTCCTGGAGGTAAAACTAATGAAAGTGTGGGGACTCATAAATTGGGCCCCCAGGAGCTTTAACTCTCAAGCCTCCAGCAATTCCTCAATTACTGTTTAAGTATCCCTACCAGTAACTGGCTCCTGGGGCTTCTGCTCCAGATGAGCTATGACTCTCTGTAGTCTCCAGTTTTCAGGGTGGTGCTTTGGCTTGTAATGTTAATTCTCTGATGGTTCTAAGAAGAGTTATTGATTTTCAGTTTTTCAGCTTTGTCTTGTCGTAAGAATAGGAATGACACCTTCCAAGCTCTTTACATGTCGGAAGGAAACCAGAAGTCCTTCTCTGCTTTTTTGTTAACATTCAGGGATGTTATTGTTAGCTGCCATCGAGTAGTTCCAACTCATGAAGACCCCATGTGTGCACAGTAGACCTGCTCCATAGGGTTTTCAAGGCTGTGACCTTGAAAGACCTGTGATCACAAGGCCTGTCTTCTGAGGTATCTCTGGATTGGGTTTGAACCACCAACCTTTGGGCTAGCAGTCGCGCACTTAACTGTTTGCGCCACCCAGGGGCTCTTGTTTTGGGATGAGTATTGATTTTTTTTTTTTTTTAAACTATTATAAAATCAGTAGCTATATGGAAAGACCTATGAGTGTTTGTGCTTGTGCAGGTTGAAAGAGCAAAATCTGGTGAAAGAAATAAGGCCTCGGGACCTCCTAGAGAGCAGCAGTGACAGCGATGAAAAGGTCCCTGTGACCAAGCCTTCTTCACTGTCCAAGCGAAAACTCGAGCTTGAGGCAGAGACGGTAGAGAAAAAGAAGAAGGGGCGGCCTCGAAAAGACTCCCGTCTCATGCCTGTGTCTCTGTCTGTCCAGGTGAGGCTCAGGCCAGTGGGCATGTCCCTGCCGTCTCACACTTGAACCCCCCAGGCTGAGTACTTGAGCCTGAGTGTCCCCAGAGCAGGAAAGGAGGGTCTGTGGGTGTGCTTTATCAGGGTGGGTGACTTGGGTGGCAGCTGGCTAGACACGCTCCCCCTCAGCCCTGCCATGGGCCCATGTAGAGACCTCGCACAGGTTCCTGGCTTCAGCTTCCTCATCTGTAAAGTGGGGATCCCTGTAGCATTTGTCTGCACTTTCTCCCTCAGAATAGGTGAAAGTACACTGGTAACAGGCCCAGCCTCACCCCTGGGTAACTTACCTTTACCTAATGCTACCCCTGTAGTGTTGGGGTGGGGCTCAGGGGCATTTCTGGCTTTTCCAGTCTCCAGCTTCCCTGACTGCAGAGAAGGACGCCTTGTGTTTGTCTGCACCAGCACTTGCACTGAAGCTGCCAATTCCAGGCCCGCAGAGAGCATTCACCCTCCAGGTGAGCACTGGGGTCTCCCCATGTTCTGTCTCAGGCACACACACATACACATTCTCTCTCTTTCCCATATAAACCATATCCTGTCACTGTCTGGGGTACTCTTCTCCAGTGACTCTCCATCACCTTCTGGAGGCAGTAGGAACTGATCAGGGTAACCATCATCAGGATCACTAGTCTCTTCCCCAGAAGCCCCATTGCTCACCCCCTCCCTAGTGCCTCATTCTCCTTTTTGGCTTTGACCTTGTAGTCCCAACTGCAGGGCTGTCGTTCCTATTACTTCTTCTAGATGGCCAGTTTCTGTTGTCTTTCAAGACTCAAGTGCCCCCTCTTCTGGAAGCCTCCTCTGATATCCACGCTGTCCCTGGGGGCTGCCTTGGGCTTGGTGCCTGTTGGGCTGTGGGGTAGAGGTCTGCTCTCCTGACTGTCCCGTGACCTCATCTACTTCTCAGTGCCCAACAAGGAGGTGCCATCAGGGCTACTTGAGCCCTTGGGGTGGAAGCATATAAACATGTGCTTGTCCAAACAGAGTTCTAGAGCAAATAGCCTTTATAACCAGAGACCCTTTGGTCACTCGGTCAGACACCAGCACCCAGGCCTTCCACTATGGCGTCACTGCACACGCTACCGCCTCTTTACACACTCTTCATATCTCAGCTCAGGTGTCATGTCCTCAGGGGCCCAGACCTCCAGAGCAGTGGTCACTAGCATCCATACAGTGGTCCAGGCCCAGGCCAGTCCTCAAAGGGCACCAGAGGGTAGATGTTGCCCTTCCCGGTCACAAGTCCTTCTGGGTCATGGTGCAGAGTTGTGAAATGGGTGGGGCCAAAGGCTAGGAACCCATGTGATTTTGTTCTTGTTTGCTGATGTGAGCAGAGGCAGGGGCACCATAGTGGTCAGCAGTGCTCATATGTGTTCTTAAGCTCACAGCTACCACGACTGTTTTTTGCCAAATGCTTTGAGTGATAGGGACCTTCCCACCACAATCTTTGAAGGATCCACAGACTTGGAGGCAGGAAACTCAAGTCTCACTCCCAGTTCTGTCTCTGGCTGGTGGTAGTACTCACTTGCTGTGTGTTCTTGAGCAAGTCACTTGCCGTCTCTGAGTCTCTGTGTTCTCACCTGTAAAATGAGGCGGTTGGATTAGGAGACTTTTGGGGTCTTGGAGCTCTGGTGCTGATTCCCTGGCTGTTCGGCCACATGGATAAGAAGGCAGAAACCAGCTTCCAGCAGTTTCTCTGCCCTTGGGAGCCACACATCCAGACCTCTGGCTCTCCTCTCCAGCCCTGTCACTGCCCCCCGCCCATCACCCTCCTCTGCTGGCCAGCCAGCTCTGTCTCCTTCTCTCTGTCTTCCACTTTCCTCACGACCTGGCTCTAGGTCTGTGTCTGAGTGGGTTCACTGCTGCTTAGAAGGACTTGGTGTTCACTTTCCTCCCTCCAGGTGAGCTCCGACCCCTCCATGTACATTGAGGTGGAGAATGAAGTGACAGCCGTGGGGGGTGTGAAGCTGAGCCGTTTGAAATGTAACCGGGAAGGGAAGGAGTGGGAGACGGTGCTCACCAGCCGGATCCTCACTGCTGCTGGAAGCTGGTAAGAGCAGAGGGGCCTTAGCCCAGCATGACTTTTTTTATATGCTGTGCTGCGTGACACTGTTGCTGTCCTGGGATGTGGCCCTCTCTCGGGGGAGGTGCACTGCCTCTCACATGCTAGCTCCTATGGAGAGTTCACTCTGGCCGTGCTCCAGGCCCAGCTTGTGCATTTGTCATTTTCAGTCCCAACCCAACGTCCAACCAAGTTGGCATTATTATCCCCAGGTTACAGATGGGGAAACTGAGGCATAGAGGGTCACCCAAGCCAGGATTTGAACCCAGATCATCTGATTATTGTGTCTGCAGCAGATTCCTAAAGTCTTGGGTTCTAGGCTGAGCTCTGCTTAGCTCTCTGACCCTAGATATTTATCCAAGGTAGTTGGGAGGGTTTCTTACTGCCCCCTAAACCTCCAGCCCAGTCTTTCCCTGACTGCACTTTGAGGGGAGGACCTTGTTTCAGAGGTTGTTAGCCCAGTTTCCTCCTGTGGGCCTTGGGGCCATGAGCCCCCTGGAGCTGAATGCAGCTCTGCCCTGCACCTACTTCTATCTGGAGAGAGGGTCCAGTGTTTGCATCACTTCCTGTGAAGACTTAAGGACCCTGTACCCTTACAAGGGTTTTACAAAGATGATTTGCTTAGAAAAATACTTATTTTAATTAGTCCCGTTATCATTTATTATGAGTTTACATGTAGGATGCTTTTACAAGTGTCCGCAAACACTTGACCTTACCTCCTAGGTCAGGGTTCCCATGGCCCTCAGTGAGTTTGTGGCATTAGGCCTAGAAAAACCCCTGCATTCTGTTCCTCCCTCACCTTCCGCCTTAGGATTAGCAGGCTTGTAAAGGGCAGAGAAGCCTGTATGTTGGGTGCTGCCATGAGCCCCCTCTCTGTCCCTCGTCTCAGGGCAGGTGGTGCATACCAGCTGGGTGTAAGGGATGTCAGCATGGCCTCTCGTACAGCAACGCAGCAGTTTCTGGGAGGGGCGGCCAGCCTGAAGACCTGGAACCCTCCTCCTACACAGTTCTGCCTGGCCCAGCTGGCCTGCAGACCTGCTCCCTGATGCTGCAGCCCTAGAGTGGTTGCTTTCTTTGCCATGGCCTGGCTTGAGAAAGGCTCTGACCCTTAGAGATAAGCAGACCAAATTTAGTCATATCACCTCATAGAATTCCCTGCTGCCTCATACTCTCAAAATAGACATTTGTAAACAAAAACTTCCCACTCGCCTCTCCCTTTTCAGAGGCCTGATAACCACAGTGTCTCTGGGATAGGCATTTGGCAGAGCTTCTTACAAGACCTTCTTGCTGTGAGCCTGCGGCAGTGGAGGGTCTCCATGCAGACCACAGGTACTAGCTGAGCAGAATCAAAGTGACATTAAGGAGGGCTTTGGATGGTCTGCCGGTAACAGGATCTTGCTGGGCTGAGCTGCTCACATGCCATAGCTTTCTGAGGTCTGAGGCTCCAGCCTCACCCTATGGCTCTCACTGGGAAGATGGCAGCCTGCTTGTGCTGAGGCGTGTCCAAAGGGCCCATGGTTGCACAGAGAGAGGCGTTCAGCAGTGTCTAAACATCCACTCTCTCGTGAAGCACTCCTTCCTCAGGGAGCAGCACACCTCTCACATCCTGGGCTGTAAAGGCCTCCTGAGCACTCAGCTGGTGGGAGATGCGCTCAGTTGTTCAAGCACTTTCTCAGCCTGTCTTGGCAGAGACCTTCTCAAGACTTGTCTGGCTAGTTGTAGACTGGAGACGACTCTCTGGGTGCTCTGTGTGGCTCATCTGGCAGTCGAAGCACACTTCCTGGGTAACTGTGAGGTTCAGTAGTTTTCCAAGCACGCGCACCTTAGGTCAGTGCTAGTGTGGTCTCAGAAGAGCTTGAGCAACACCTGTGGACAGGAGAAGACCATTGTCTCTTTCTAATCAAACATTTCAGTTAGGCTCCTGTCAGCCCTGCCATGCCTGGTCCTCAGAGGCTCTGTCCCATGGCAGGCCCACTCCTGTCCTCTCCCTTGGGCTGAACCCACTCAGGGAAGGCAGTGTTGCAAACGGGGTTTCTCCTATTGGGCACAGGCTGAGCCTGGTCAGTGAAGGCTCTGCCTGTGTTGGAGCTTCTGCCTCTGCCGGGGCTGCTGCCTCTGCTGCAGCTTCCAGACCCCCAGTGACACCTGTCTGTCCTCTGCCTTTGCAGTGACATAGTGTGTGTCGCCTGTGAAAAGAGGATGCTGTCGGTGTTCTCCATCTGTGGCCGCCGGCTCCTTCCTCCTATCCTCCTGCCGTCCCCAATTTCGACTTTGCACTGCACAGGCTCCTACGTCATGGCACTCACGGCTGCAGCCACGCTATCTGTCTGGTGAGAGGGCATGCACAGGGTTGGGTGGGGTCCAGGCAGGGCAGGAAGGCTGCAGGTCCCACCTGCTCAAGCCTTCTCACTGCAGGGAACCCAGCTGACATGCCCTCAGGCCCTGCTGGCCTGGTGGGGCTTAACGCTCCTCTCTCAGGAGGAGGCCCTTAGAAATCAGAGACACCCCTGTGTTGGCCCCTGTGCTAGGTGAGGGGTGGAGGAGGTATGCCAGAAGAATTGAGGTGGCCTTGTGCTGCACAGGAGACAGGAACGGACTGCGTGACAGATCTCAGTGTCTAATTGAATACGGCAGGGGTTTCGTGTGGGGTTCATTGGAAGCAGGCTGTCAGCTGGAAGAGCGTGGCCATGATTCTGGCATGGCTGCTGTGGCCTGGCTTCTTCCAGGGTGTGTGGGCAGTGCTGGCAGAGGTGGTGGACCTTGGAGCTCTGTTGCCTGGGCCCTCTGCTATAGATGTCTGCAGAGGGAGCATATTGGTGCACAGGGAGCAGAAGCCACTGCAACCCAGAGCTCCTCTCACGTGAGGAGGCTGTGGCTGGGAGCCTACACCTAGAACTGCACGGGAAAGTGTGGGTGGCGGTGGGGTTAGCAGCCTCAGCACAGTCTGATGCATTTGCTAAGGTTAGAGAGTAAGATGTTTCCTGTCTCTCCTCAGGGATGTTCACAAACAGGTGGTGGTGGTGAAAGAAGAGTCTCTACACTCCATCTTGGCAGGTAAGCCAGGGAGTGGGCTGCCCCTGGTCCAGTGGGGTAGGAGCCTGGGCAGGGCAGCCTGAGTCCCAGTTCTGACGTGGGAGGGCAGAGGCTCTCAGTGAGGCAGGTGGTACATCCCATGGCAGAGGGAGACTGTATCTCCTGGGGCACATTTGAATGGGCCTGTGAGAGGATGGCACACATAAATCATACAGCAGCAGCTCCCTAGTTTCACAGTCAGCGTTAAGGAGCCTATTGCTGGGACCGAGGGAACTGTGGTTCGGATTTCTCTCATGGTGCATGTGCAAACACTTGGTCTGGTCAGAGCACACCCGGAACTCACTTCTCTGCTGTCCCCCAGGAAGTGATATGACGGTGTCACAAATCTTGCTGACACAGCATGGAATCCCAGTGATGAACCTGTCCGATGGGAAAGCATACTGCTTTAATCCGTCTCTTTCTACATGGTAAGCAAGCTGCCCTCTTGGCGGTTCCCCTTGGGAGAGTGGCAGTCTGCCCTGGGACCCAGAGCAGTGAGCAAAGGCCCCAGTCCTGGTGGTAGGCCATCCTGACCCTGCTTCCATGTTTTCTGAGCATTGGACCCCTGCTTGGCTCTGTCTGCTGGAGAAGATGGAGCTGAAACCTGCCAGGACATGCCCTGCTGTCCCCATGAGGCTACCAGCCCCTGGCCTCTCTGCCCTCAGACCATGTGTACAAAGGGCACTTTCTCCTTTTGCATTATGCCCTGGGGTCACTGTTTTGGGAATAGGCATATGAACATTTTTATGGTTCTTGGTACATATTTTCAGACCGAGCCCCATAGCCATCATTGGCAGAGTGGAGTTGACTTCACACTAGTCGATTTCTGTAAGCTTAAGAGGTGCAAGGTGGTACTTCCCGCACACTCTGTCAGTTACTAAGGTTGTACGTTGACCCCCTGATGTGGAGAATCTGTACATTTCCTCTGCTCATTTTGGAACTTGGAGTTTTTTTCTGTATCTGTATAATCTCTGTACATCAAAGATCTTAACCAGATGTATGAAGTATGTAAACTGTGTACCAGGCACTCCAAGAAATTCTTTCCTTCTGCCTGCACCTTTGGTCCTTCCAGCCCCTTTTCTGTTAAGAGTTGCCAAGCACAATTGTATGCTCACACTGATATTTCTTTCTTGAGCTAAAAAAACTGAAACAAAAACAAACTTCACCAACTGCTGTCTAGCACTCTCCCCCAAATTGCAAAACGTTGTGTATTATTTGTGATCTATAATAATGCAAGAAAGCTGATTAAGAAGAGAATTATAGAATCTTTGTTGACTTCTTTGTATTTTTGAAGAGAGTCTATTTACCAAGGTACTCGACTTTTAAAAAGGGTATAAAGACTTTTTCCTAACAAAGATGTGAAAGGTCCAGAGACGGTGCAAGAACTGACTGCCTGGGGCCGTTGTAGAGGCACAGGAAGATGAGAGGCCTGGCAGCTGGCGAGGGTCCGGGCGATGTGGGCCCCTGCTTGGGTGGATGTTCCACACGCACAGAGGGTACCCTCGGTCATCAGGAACTGAGACCGTGGAGCTGAAATGTTCACCCCAGGAGCCCTGTCAGTGACCCTCATTATCATTAATTTTCCCTTTGAGACAGTAACTTACCAGGCCCATCACTATGAACCCTGTCACTGATGGGCATCTATCTACCACGCAGTGGCACTCAGCCAGAGCTAGCTTTCTGGCATTGTGGCAGGTGGGGTACTTGCTCTGCCATGGCTTCATTGCCAGCCTCCCCCATTTTCCTGAGCTCTACTCCTGTCTCTGCCTTCCCAGGAACCTGGTTTCTGACAAGCAGGACTCACTGGCCCAGTGTGCAGACTTCAGGAGCAGCCTTCCATCCCAAGATGCCATGCTGTGCTCAGGACCATTAGCCATCATCCAGGGCCGTACCTCCAAGTATGTGACCTGAGTATTGGTAGTCCTGTCCCAGGAAGTGCCCGGGTTGGTGCAAGCACAACCCTACCTGGCCTGGTCTCATTGCCTACTCCCTATGCCCACAGGCAGGCTGGGCTGGGCAGGCCAGGGGTGCTGAGGGTTGTGGGCCCACATTGGCTAATACCTCCAGAGTGTTGAGATGCAGGCCCTGTCACAGCAGCCCAGATGGTCCTAGGGTGCTATGGGTCATGGATGCTCTTGTTGGACAGTAGTTTGGTGGAGGGGGGGAAATGGGCCATCTCAGGAGCCTAGATGGTAGGCACAGGGTGGGGGCTCAGGTCAAAGGGACCCATGGCAGTTGGTGTCTTAGAGGCAGCTGAGCTGCTGACCCTGTCTCAGGGGCCCCACCTGGCATGCTGCAGCTGGTCTGGGGCAGTCAGGGTGGCATGTTCCTGGGATGCCAAAGTGGCCAGAAGGCCCATGGCTGGGACAGGGAGCAGACAGGCCAATGTGGAGTCACTGGTGCTTGCCAGCACACTGGCTAGTGGGCCTCAGGGGAGGCCTTCGGCAGCCCTGCCAGCTCCTTGCTTGTGCCCTGGCGCACATAGTGTCAGCCTTCTGCCCCTAGGCAGTGCCCACTGCCCCACCATACATGCTCTGCTGGTCTCTGCAGTTCAGGAAGGCAGGCTGCCCGGCTCTTCTCCATGCCTCACGTGGTGCAGCAGGAGACTACCTTGGCCTACCTGGAGAACCAGGTTGCAGCAGCACTCAGCCTGCAGTCCAGCCATGAGTACCGCCATTGGCTCCTCATCTATGCACGGTACCTCGTGAATGAAGGTGAGGTTCCTCCCAGGCCTGGCTTGATCCTCTCTACATGGCCCACCCTCCTTAAGCCCCATGAATCAGGGAAGAGGTGCCGTCGAGCAGGGCCCTCTGTACCCTCATTCCTTGTGATCCACCCCCACCAGAGGCCCTGGCTGCCTGTTCCCCTCTCAGGCTAGCTTGGGCCCTCCACCCGCATCTCCCAGCCTGAGCTGTGATGAGGTTAGTACAGCCAGTCCAGCGCATCACAGGCTCTGAGGCCCTGAGTAGAGAAGGTCCTGAGGATATCCCCTCATCATACCAGGAGGATTGGAAGGGAGGAGGCCAAGAGAAATGCGTGGGAAATTTTTCTCTGGAGGAGCAGAGACAAGAGGTTCTGACTCCTGCCTGTCATCATAGCCTTGGAAAACCCATCACCCAGGGGAAGGCATCTTCTGGCAGCTTCCAGTGGGCCTGCATTTCCCTTCCTTCTCCCAGCCCCTCCTACCCTAGAAGGGTCTGCCTACTGTCCATCTGCCTCCCCAGCCCTCCAACCCAGGCTTCCCTGCCAGGGCTCTCAGAGCACCTGGGCTGCCCCCTTGCCAGCATCCCCCCATCTTTCCCTGTCTTATTGGTCAGCAGAAAGCAAGGTGTGTTGGAAGAGGTGGATGTACTGCTCTTGAAGTGACCCCATTAGCCTTTCGGCCCTCTGCTAGTCAAATGTGCTTTACCAGCCTCTGCTCCCACCTGCACTTGGCCCCCAGGGGCCATGGTGTGAGAACAGCCCTCTTCACGTTCATTCTATGTCACCTTGCAGCCCCAGGCCAGGCCCTCTCTTCTCAGCCTGGCTGCAGAGCAGCCTTTTTCTCCTGGCCTTTTTGCTTTTCTTTTCTCATCATCCTCCCCCGTATGTTTAAGTATGGAAAAGACAGAGGGAAACGTGATAAACCCTTATAAATGTAACTCCTAGAATTAACATGTCATGATTGCCTCAGATTATGTAAATGTGTTTATGTTCACAACAGTCATTATTGATAAACTGGAAGCCACTCTTCACCTCCCCAGAGGAACTCCAGTAACAAGTTTGATGTTCACTCTTCTGCCCAGTAGATGTTGTCGCTGACTTTTCTGAATACTCAGTCTTCCCAAGCCCTCACACCATACTGGCTTTCCTGGGGTTCTCCGGTCACATCTTGGGCCTTGTAACCCCATCCCCCTTGGGAAACCCCTTTTCTCATTCCTGTCTGGTTTGCTTTGTCCTGGGTGTTGATCAGGACTCACTGTGATGTTCTTTGTGAAGTTGTTGCCTCCTCCTGGCCTCACCATCCATTTGCGGGATCACATCTCCTGCTTGCTTCACTTTATTCCATCTTCCACATGCACCAGTCACTTCCTCCGTCTGTCCATTGTTTTCTCAACTGTAAAAGGAGTAGCCAAGTATTAAAGAAGACCTCATTCATGTCCAAAGTTCCTAGGAGTCCAGCTTCATCCCTCTTATTCTATACCCTTTGATTTCATCCATTCCCTATGGCTTGAGCTGCCCCCAAGTGTGACAAACCCTCCAGATTCTGTAGCCAACACCTCTGGCAGCCACATCTGACTGTGCCCATGACTCTCGAGTTGACAGGCCTGTGCCTGCTTCTTCCATCTCCTCAGCTCAATCCCCACCTCCTCTGTCCACATTCATGCCTTCACCATCTCGTGCCTCCTGAGGGCTGACCTCCTGACCCTTCTGATGGCCTGTTAACACCAGCTGCCAAGATGTCTTCTCTGAAGCAGATCAGACCAGCCCACTCCCTTTCTTTAACAATTCCCCACATTTTCCCATCACCTTGGGGAATTTCTCACAGAACTGGCCACGTCTTGCTTTTTTCGGTGAGCCCAGCACACAGAGAGGGTGCCAGCTCGCAGCTCAGCAAGTGCTTGTCCAGGGAGTGGGTGAGTGAGTGAGTGAGTGAGAATCTGTGATTATGAGTCTCAATGCCCCAAACTGAGAGACATGCAAGAGGTATTTTGCCCAGTGCGATAAAATAAGCATTTGTTCATTTTGTTTTGATATGCACAACAAACTTAGCATATTCTTGACTTTTTATTTCTTTTTGTAATGTGTTCCTGTTTTCTGTTTTGTTTTGTTTTTTGTTTTTTCTGTGATTAGGGTTTGAATACCGACTCCGAGAAATATGCAAGGACTTACTGGGTCCGGTTCACTACTCCACTGGAAGCCAGTGGGAGTCAACAGTAGTGGTAGGTGCTTGTTTCATTCTTGCTGCAAGAATTCTCGCTTGAAAAGTGAAGATGGAGAGTTATAAAATAAGCCAAAGTGCTTTGCAGTTCTTCCCCACCAGACTTCTCTAGCACACTGCCATGGGCTCCAGGCTTAGTGTAGGATAAGGGCTGGAGCCCCACGCCTGGCAGGTGCTGGGCCCTCGGGAGCAGTCAGTGCGCTGAGGAATGCCTGCCCATACCTGGGGCTGTGGATTTAGTAGTGACAATGAAAGAGCCTTTCCTCCCCTTCGTGGAGCTGACAGTCTGGTAGAGAGGTAAACATAAGCCAGTAAACAGTTTAGGTCAACCAGATACGTGTAGACTGGATTGATGCTAAGACGCAAATAAGCAGGATAATAAGACAAGAGTGGCCAGGGAAGAGCTTGGAAGAGGGTGTTTAAATGAGAATGAGCCAGCTCTGCAGAGACCTGGGGGAAGAACTTCCTGGTAGAGGGAACACCAAGTGCAGAGAAGCTTGGTATATTTGAGGCCACTGCGCTGCAGCATAGTGGCCAAAAGAGAAGGTGGGGTGAGATGAGGCAGGAAAGATGAGTAGGGGCAGATCATGGAGCCCTTGTGAGAAGTGGGGGCTTTAGTCTAGGCAGCATGAGCCATTGGAGGAGTTTCCACAGGGGTGATGTTATCTGACATGGGAAAGCAGTCAGGGTGAGTTTTGCAATGGTCCCAGCAATAGGTAAAGGTGGCTTGCATCAGTGTGCTGGCTGTGGAGAGAAGAAAGGAGATTCAAAAGGTTTTTAGAAGCAGAACCAACAAGACTTGGCGGTTGGTTGGATGTAGAGTAGGTGAGGAAAAGAGAATAATGAGCACATGGTCACCTCCAGAGCTTTTTGGCTTGTACAGCTGCCTGGATGCCAGTGAGTGAGTTGGGAAGGAGCAGCCTGGCAAAGGGGGGTAAGATACGGGTCCAAGAGTTGGCTCCACTGCTTCACTCACTCATTCAGCAGACATTTCTGGAGCCTCTGCTGTGCCACAGGGCAGGCCTCAGTGAGCAAGGCAGAATGGATCCCTGCCTCCGTGGATCTGCAGACTAAACAAATGAGCAAGCTGATGGAGTGTGCTGGGTGAGACGAGTGCTGTGAAAAACATAAAGAGGGCAGGGCCATATGGACCCCTGGAGGGGATTATAAAGGGAGGGTCAAGAGAGGTCTCACTGACTGACTGAACAGAGACCAGAAAAGGTGAGGGAGGAGCCATGCAGGTGTTCTGGGGAAGAACATAAAAACAGAGCACAGCAAATGCAGAGGCTCTCAGATAGCAGGGCTTGAAGTGTCAAAGCGTGAGCTGAGTAGAGCTGAGATCAGAAAGGGTCAGTCCAGGGCTTCGACAGCCTTACTATGTGTTGTGTCCTTTTCTTTTTTTTTTTTTTTTAATTCCTTTTTTATTTTGTTGCCGTATATCTTCATTTGGTTGGGTAATGAAATCCTAGGTTCAAAATTAGTTTCCCCCTGGACCCTTGAAGGTATTGTTCCACAGAATTTTAGCATCTAAAATTTCTCATGCAAATCTGATTTTTCATTGCTTTGTAAGTACTTTTGGGATCCTCTCTTGGTGATTTGGAAGTCTCATTGATTCTGTGGAACCACAGAACAGTGATTTTTTTTTTTTCTTTTTTTTGCTTCTCTGATTATGTCTTCTCTCCATTTTCCCCTAAGAGATACAGTGTCCTCTCTTTTTAAAATCTGCTGTCAATTTTTTTTATAGTTTCAGTTCTCTTCCAAAATTTTCAATCTAGTTTTTTATCTTCTTGAGTATAGTAAACTTCATTATTTTATTTTAGAATTTTATGTTGGATATTTCTAGTATTGGGAGCCCTTGTGGATCTGTTTCTATTGCCTGTTGTTCCTGCTGGTTCTTATTCATATCGTCTTATCCCTTCATGTGCTATTTACCTTTGACTGTCTGCCAGACATGGTATTTGAAAAATTATTTGTAGAAATAGTTTGAGGCCTAGGTCGATGTTACTTTCCTCCCCAGAGCACTTTTATCTGCTAATGCCAGCTTCGTGAGACACCAGCACTACAGGGTCACCTTGATCCAGCTCAGGGGCTGAGGTTTTCTGGGGTTCTCTGGGGACTCAAAGCTGGGCTCTCACTGGTACAGGGGCTGGCTTACTTCCAGTATCCCTGTATTACTAGGGTACATCCTTTGGGTGTACCAGCCAAAAGATTTATTAGAGACCCCATCCTCATGGGCCCTGGGTCCTTGCTTTGGTCCCCTTGGGCCCTCAAGTCTTTTAGAAGCTCTGCTCAACTTCTTCCTCATCAGTAAATGTTCCTGAGGCAAAACCATCCCTCTGTGGATTTCTGCCTTCTTACACCGTGACTCAGTCACTCTTCACTAGCACTAGCTCTTTGAGGTGTTTCTGATTGTCTAGCTTTCCCCTCATCCTCAGCAGGGAGAGTTATTCTGAATTACCTAGTCAGGTACTGGAAGGAAAAGTTTATAGTATCTTCCCAAATATCTCCTGCAGATACTAACCAGAACATTTTTCAGGGTTAGCTTTTATTCCCTGAATTATCTCTTGCCTTTTCTAGGTTCAGGGAGCCCTGGTAGCACAGTGGTTAAGCTCTTAGCTGCTAGCTGAAGTGTTGCCAGTTTGAACCCACCAGCCACTCCGCAGGAGAAAGATGTGGCAATTTACTTCTGTAAAGCTTTAGAGCCTTGGAAACCCTGTGGGGCAGTTCTCCTCTGTCCTGTAGGGTCACTATGAGTCGAAATCAACTCGACAGCTACAGCTTTGTTTTTTGGTTTATAGGGTCACTATGAGTTGGAATCAACTTGATGGCACACAGCAACAACATAGGACATGAGATATGCATCCAACTTTATTTAGATAGTCTAAGAGACTACACAGTTGTCCCAGCATCAAAAGATATAGATAAAATATCTTTTCCTCCACTAATTTAAAATATAACCTTTATCCTATCTTAAATCCACATGTCAGTTTCTGGACTTCTTCCCTGTGCCTTTTGTGTCCCAGTACCGTGTGTGGCGCTAGGCTAGGCATCTTTGCATGTCTGTGAGCCACTTGAGGGTGAAGTTTCTCTTTTCTGACGCCAGGGAGCACAGGGCCTGGCACACTGTCCAAATGGGTCCTTGTCGATGGCAGTCTCAGGTTGTGCACTGGGCATGTTGTGAGGACCCCTGTGTCTGCAGAGCGTGGTAGACCTGGTTTTCTGGTAGGCCTCAGCCACAAAGCCTGTGATTAATTCATGGTAATCCTGGGTTGACACATAGTTGCTGTCATTGGTCTGTGTATGGCCAGCTTTAATCTCATCCAGTTTATTCATCTGTTTACAACGTGAGCCCACTGCACACTTACGGAGGCTGAAGCAGTGTTAATAATTGCCACCAACCTCTGTGTTCCCGTTTTCATCCTCCTGCCTCCCCCAGAGGTCATCAGCATCTTGAATTTTATAGTTTTCATTTCCATGCTTTTGATTTTTAATCATTCATTTATATCCTCTCTCTCTCTCTCCCCTCTTCTCTGTCTTTCTCATCTCCTCTCTCATGCATATACACATATTCAACTCAAATACACTTGCCTAAACCATGTTTGGTTTTAGTTGCACGTGAACTTTCTATAAAGGGTGAGCCCCTGGGTGGTGAAAATGGTTAACACACTCAGGTGTTAACCAAAGGATTGAAGGTCTGTGTCCATCCAAAATCACCTTGGAAGAAAGGCCTGGCGATCTAGTTCCGAAAAATCAGACATTGAAAACCCTATGGAGCACAGCTCTACTCTGACACACACGGGTCACCATGAGTTGGAATCAACTCGATGGCAATTAGGAAAAAAAATGCTGACTTCTGGATGATGCTGTTCTTAAACACAGCATTACGTTACTCAGGTTTTTCCACACTGCCTGCAGCTATAGTTCATTTGTGTTTACTTCTGAATAATATTCAGTTGTGTGGTTTCCCCACACTTAACGTGCCCACTCTCCTGTCAGTGAGCGTGTGGGCTGTTTCAGTCTGGGCCATTACAGAGCTGCTGCGAACACTTTTGTATTTGTCTCCTAGTGTTCATGTGCTAAAGTGTTCTTGGGTTTATACTTAGGAGCAGGAACTTTGAGTCATGGGATATGCTGTTGTAAGACTTCACAAGATAATGGCAAACTGTTTTCCAAAATAGTATATCAATTTATGCCACCCATCCAAAATGTATGTAATAAGCTGATTAATGTACATTCTGTCCAGTACAAGTATGGTCAGACTTCTTGATATTTGCCAACAGAATGAGTATAAGATACCATTTTATTTTGATTTTGTTTTTCCCTGATTATTAATGAGGTTGAACACTTTTGATTATGAATTTCCTTCTGCTATTTAATGCCCATTATGTCTTTTGCCCATTTTCAGTAAGATTGTTTGTCCTTATTGATTAGTACAAGTTTTCTGTATATTCTTAATATTAATCTTTTGTTCTTTTTGTATGTTCTTTTTATACCTGGGAGTGGAATTGTTGGGTCAAGTAGTAACTCTATGTGTAACTTTTTGAGGAATTGCCAGAGTGTTTTCCAAAGTGGCTGTACCATTTTACATTCCCACCAGCAGCATATGAGTGTTCTAATTTCTCTTCATCCTCACCAATACTTATGGTCCATCTTTTTTTATTATAGTCAACCTAGTGGTGGTGGTGGTTGTTAGGTGCGGTTGAGTCAGTTCTGACTCATAGCAACCCTACGTACACTGGTGATAAGTGATAATTCATTGTAGTTTTGATTTGTATTTCCCTGATGGCTAATAATGTTGGGCATCTATTCATATGCTTATTCACCATTTAGATACAGGAAAAAGTGTCAATTCCAATCCTTTGCCCATTTTTAAATTGAGTTACTTGTCTTTTTATTGTTGAGTTGTAAGAGTTCTTTATATATTCTGGATACTTGAACCTTATCGGATACATGATTATTAGACCTTACCAGATATCAGTTATATATTTTCTTCCTTTCTTT